ATTTCCCATTTACTCATCTTTAGGGCATTGCCTTTGTAGCTTTAGCAGGGGAACGTTTCATTGTTCTCACTTTTGCATATCATTTATCTTGAGATGTTGTCAGATGCATTTTCAAAGATAGAAGAGGCAGAACACAGCGAAGCATCACTACTGAAAAAACATGATCTTACCCAGACATTACAGGAATTGAAACATGTGATTGTTGCTGATGCAAAGATCACTTCTTAACCTCTTGCTTTGGTTATATGATGATTTTTTTTTCCTCTTCTTGCTTTTCCTCTTTCTACCTTTTTTCTTTCTTTCCTTTATTTCCTCTCCTTTTCTTAGATCTCATTTTCCACTCTCTGATTTTTTATTTAAATACTCATTACACTCTCTAATGATTATCTTGGTGTTTAGTCACCAGTGCATGACTTCACTTTTGCTGTTAGCAGTGTAAGTCAATTCCCTCTCTCTCAGCAATTGTGTGTGGAAATAAGCATGGTCGTTAATCATTTTACAGCTCACAGTCTCCAAGACAATGCCACTAGCTAACAGAATGGTGATGGCAAGAACTGCAGCAGTTTTGCAGCATTATTAATAGAGCACCTGAACTTCTTGACTTGTCTTTAATTTATGAAGTGTTGTTCTGGCATTTCATATGAGGAAAAGATTATGACATCTCTACCTACTTTGGTCTGCATCTTAATAATAATTTCTATACCAGACATTTAAAATATTTTGGTCAATTTGATGCTGGTGAAAATACAGGATCAAATTGCATGTGTCCTCCTACACAACTGACTTTAGTGAACATTAGATATGAATGGTAACTCCTACTGCTCTGAATGGGATTTAGACCACTCATGTACACAGAGTCCACACCAATTGCCATGATGGCAAATTCTAGCATTTTGCTCCTTGCTTGTATTGCTCACACACTATGTACAGGTAGGATCTCTACAAGTCAGGAGAGAACTTAATTTTACTCTGGTTTCAATCCATGGCTCATCTGTTGAGTTGTGCAATTTATAATTAGCAACCCTTCTGATGGCAAAGCTTATGGTTTTGATTGATTACAATCACAATCAAACTCACCACCTTGTCCTTTAATACTGCTGTAGACCTCACCTATGAGGGAATGATCTGACAGGCAGAGTCACAGCTTTGCCTGCTGAGAATGTGCTAGAAGAACTCTGTTTGAGTCATGGTGAAGCATCTAAGAAGGATCCTTGCTATTAAATATAAACTACAGTTCTGCTTTACATATACCATTTTGTAATTGGAAGCCAGACCATTATGTCCAGTTAGAATAAATTTTCACTTTCTCATGTTGCAGGTGAATTGAAGCTCAGTTGAAGTTAACCCTTATGGAACACATTATCTTTTTGGAAGCAATGAAATTACACACAAAGAGGTGTGTGTGTGTGTACAGGCAATGCTTAGTGGACTTGCCTCCAAAACACTGTTAAGGTTAGAAGATGCCTCCCATCTGAGTTCCCCTTAACAGGCAGAGAGAGAGTCGGCAGCAGAGAAACATGTCGTGCTTCTGAGCACTCCCCACTCTGCATGATCACAAAACTTTTGGTCAAGAAAATCCCACTCCCCAATGCAGATAGTTGCTGGAATCCCACTGGTGCCTCGCAAAACACTGTCTGCAAATCAAAAGGAACTGGTTTGGCTGCCATTACTTTTTATCTTAGTTGACACTGTCCTTCTCATGCCAGCTAACCCACCGGCACTGCACATCCAGCTCTCACACATTCCCCAGGTTTGGAGCCACTGCATAAGAATTCAGGAAGCCACTGAGAAATGGAAGAAACCAGTGGAGCAACTGAGAGAGCTTTCTTCCATTTGAGTCAATATTTTAGCTGTATTCAGTATGTTGATTCTTAGAACAGGAGGTTCTTTTGAAAGATCTATGTAAAAAATGGAAGAAAGCAATGTAGTAAAATTACATTTTCAGTTACATTAAAAAAAAAAAAAAAGAATCTTGCCTAACTGTACTGTCTGCTTGCTTGCATTTCAGTCAAAAATATAACACTTTCATCAGTGACGCCTTCTACTCCTTCTGTTTTTCCTCCTTTAACCAGTTTAGTTTGGCATTTGTATAGTAAAAAAACCCTCAAACCAAAATCTTCAGTTTTCCTAGCTACTGTACAGAGCCAGAATATTCTATGGCAGTACTGAAAATTACTGTGAGGTATTTAGAACAATTATTATTTTCTTTCAGTTTAAAATTAAGTACTTCTGAGGCATTATTTGAGATCCAAAAGGAAAAAAGCATCTTACAATATCCCTGCCAAGCTAGATGTTTTTGTTGATTTCACAGGGATTTGACAGAGGACACTCTAGAGGAGCATTCTAGCCTGCTGATTTTTTTTTTTGTTAGATAATAGAAAATCCTAGACAACTGATAAGAGGGCAGATATCTGTATTATATGAATCAGTCTATATATACAATCTTGATAACATAAAAAAAAACACTTAAAAATCAAATCTCTGAAATGACAAATAATTTCAGAATTATTTTTGGAAATTTAATTTTCTCCTGACAGAAATAATACTTTACTTAATAGAGAAGAGCTATAAAAGGAGACCAAATCACTGGCAAACATTCTTTATCACTTTGTCTGACTAACTCAAAATTAATTTCTTGCAGAGAAATCCTTTGTAGGAGAGTGGATTATTTGTCTTCCTTCTTTCTGGCCTGTGGTATGAAAGCACATTCATAAGCAAGGGACACTACCATGGTGCTGCTGTACTTCTGTGGTTCCTGGTTGCAGAGTAACCTCTTGGGGACAGTTGCAAGCCAGGTGTATCATTCCTGGGTCAAGTCATCTTGAAATGATTGGAAGAAGGTGAAGGTGGAACCCACGCTCTGAAGAAGCAGCAAGCAGCTCTTTACTGCCGGGCTATGTTATAGAAGATTGCAGTGTGACAGAATATATTTATTCATACAGAAAAAGCCTCTTTTTTTTTTTTTTGTCTGGTAGATTGCAAAAAAAATTTCTTCTCAAGGGAAGAGGAATGGTAGAAATACAGATACCTCATTAGTCCTATCCATGGACGTGTATTTTTCGGCTAGTTGTGGCACCTGTGAACTAAGTTTATTAGAAAATAGATATTTGTGGAATATAATTATTAAGATCAATTTAAGCTGTTTTAACCATTTAACCATTGTGCTGCAGAACAAATAATAATCTTTTGAGGAATAGTTAGAATAACTGTAGGATAAGGAACTCATAAATAATCTTGCTTGAGATGGTTCGGCCTTGTAGTAGCAGATGCAAAGAAACATAAAGATAAGGAAGCTGCAAATTAGCAACAAACCCAGACCAGGCCAGCCTTGAAGGAGAAGATATACATGACCACAGGACTGAGTTTGTGCAGAAGTAAGGGTCAACTGGCAGACACAGTGAAGAAGACTACTAGCCTTCATCTAAAGACCCCCGACAACCACCTGAAGACTCCAACAGACATGTGCAAGAGAGATTAACATATGCTAATGAGTTCCCAGAAAAGTTATGAATATGATAAAATATGATAAAATGTAATGAATATGTATGATTAGGGTAGTACAAATGCTTGTTTATTTTGTTTTCACACACACGCATTAGGAGGAGCTATCCCCTGTGTGTCTGGTGCTGTAATAAAGAATGCCTGCGTTCTAAAACTCCAAAATTGACTCTTAGAGAGTGAATTAATTACCACTTTCCGGTAACAGTTGAGTTGTCAGCAGTAATGTAATGTATTGGTCCTCTGCACTGGAATTGCTTATGGTGCAATTCAGGCAATATAAAAATGAAATTTTGGGCAATTCCACTGCATGGTGTTCCTCTGTGACTTGGAGAGATCTGTTTTATTCGCAGCAAACTGCAATGTCAGACGTGCTGCAGGAAACAAGCTGTGCTTGAAAATTATCTGGAGTTTGCCAGAGAGATCAGCTACTATATGCAGTTAAAATGTACACAACCCACATACCTAACATTTTACATTATGCTCTTCATCTTTATAATGACAGAAATACAGATGGAATGGCTCTGTTTACCAGATACAGATCTGTGGGATTCCCTCCCCACTGGGCTGTCACAGTGGGGTGATCAACCATCAAGATTAATGGGAGAAGCTCTCTGGTCAACGGGAGAAGCTCTCTGGACCCCTCACAGATTGGGGGGCATGGCTGACAACAAGCATATGAGTCTCACGCCAAGGAAGAGCATTTGGGGATTGCACAAGACTTATGGGCTGTTTAGGCAAAGGACCAAGGGTGGGGAAAGGAAGAGATCAAGGGGGTTTGGGGAGGAACCAGTATGGGACACAGGACAAGGGGACGAAAGGGGCTGATGACGTGCAAAGCGGCTGCTCGGCAGCACATTTCTGTGGCCGTGCCCTGCACCTGACAAGCACAATGTCTCTTATCTTCATCCTAAACTCCATTCCCGTTTTCCCGGGTGAGGGGACGCTCCGTTCTGCACGTGGATGCGTGCACGGAGGTTTAAGTGCCAGCAGCTGGAATCAGACACACACAGACACACACAGACACACACAGACACACACAGACACAGACACAGACATACACACACACACCCCCACCCACACACACACCCCCACACCCCAAGCCCTGGGGCCCTACGTGGCCGCGGTGCCAGCAACCGGAGAGACCGACTGAGGGGGCCGATCCTCCCCCGCTCCCGCGGTGGCCGCGGAAACCGCCGCCCGCCGCAGCGGCGGAACCTCGTGGGGCGGCGCCAGTCGCCAGCCGGCCCCTTTTCGCCGCCGCGCCCGGGTCCGCGCCGCCGCCTTCCGTCGTCCCGCGGTTACCCTGGCAACGGCGCCGTCGGCGGAGCGAGGAGCCTGGGCCCGGCGGCAGGATGGTGAGAGGCGGCGGGTGGGGGGGGGGCTGTGGGGCGGCCGCGGTGCTTCCCCCCAACACCTCGGGCGGGGAGAGCCCCGCCGAGGTCCCGCTCTGACCCGGCTCCGCTCTGCTCTCTGCCTAGATGCTCTCGCGGGCCAAGCCGGCCGTGGGGGGTACCCCGCCGCCGGGAGACCGGCGGAAGAAGAAAGGGAAGAAGGTACCGCAGCTGGAAGAGCTCCTGGCCCTGCGGGATTTCACCGGCGCGATCGCTTTGCTGGAGGTAACGGCCGCGGCGGGCGCGGAGGCCCCGGCCCGAGGGTGCCCGCCGGCACGCTGCCTGTCCCGCCGCCCTCCTCCCTCGGGAGAGCGGCACCGCCACCGCCAGGCCTGTGCCCGCCGCGGCTGCGGGGCGAGGGGAGCCCTTCCCCTGTCATGTGTCCGTCCCTCTCGCCTCTTTCCGTTAGGCCCTGTGGCGGCAGCTCTCCCCCTCGCTTCACAGAGCTTGGTTTGGCACGGGAGGGTTGCCTGCTGCTTCCCTCAAAAATGTGGGAGCATCTCCACCCCAGTAGCATCCACAGCTGTCAAATCATCCGTGGTATGAGGTGGCCTAGTATTATAATTATCTGTGGGGCTTAATAGACTGTCAGGCCACTCACAGAATTCTTTCTTTCTTCTCTACGAAGTTTAAACGGCACGTGGGTGAGCAGGAGGAGGATGCTGACCTTTGGATCGGATACTCTGCCTTTCATTTGGGCGACTACAAGAGAGCACTGGAGGTAGGGTGGGGAAATCCTGCTCCCCGAGGTTGTAAATTGGGATGTTGTGATAAAGCGATGACAACAGGAGTAAGATGTTCTGTAGTAGGGAACAGTTCTGTCAGCCAATTAAAGTACAAATGTATGATAATAAAGCAGATGATGTGGAAAGCAGTTTGGATTGGGAAAAAAAAAAAAAAAATATTTGCTTATGAAAATAGACCTTTTTAAATGTTATCTGTTGTCTGATTCAATACTACGCTCAGTAGCCTTATTTGTCCTTTTAAATGTCATAGTTCATGTCCTAAATTTTCCATTCCTTTTTTTGCAGCTACCTTTCCACACTTTTGGTTTTCAGGTTTAATTATGTCTTTGTCTTCATTGTGTAGCTTATTTGTAATACGCGTGCTTTTTAAATTCTTTCTTTAGAGGTTGATGCCCCTGGCCATTTGATGTACTTTATTATACTTCTTTATGTTTTCTTGTATTACGTAATTCAATGAAATTAGACATTCTTACTCTCCAAAAGATTTAAGCCGCTAAAAGACATGTTGATTATTCAAATATGCATACATTTTTAATATTTGCACCATGCAGTGCTGTTGTGTCTCTTTCAGTGTAGGAGTCCATATGCAGTTCTTTCTCTTGCATCCATTTATGTCTCCAATGAAAATCAATTTGTTGCCGGTGTCCCTGGGATCCCTTTATCTTCTTGGCTGTGCTAGCATATTTCTCTGTAAAAGTCTTAAATTTCTGTTGTCTGCCTTGCTCTAAACCTCTAAGGGCTGGAATCAGTGTGCACACCAGAACAGGGAGTGTTGTAGAGTGGTGTGGTGATACCCACAAGGCTGCATTTAAGCTAGTGAAGATTTGAAAACACCTCAGCCTGCCTGTATATTGTTTGTCTTCTTGCTGTATTCCTACAGATGTGAATTGCTGGGTCCATACAGTGCTGTATTGCACCATCTAAGGTTTATTGGTTTTGGTCAATGTCAGCTGGGGGAAATCTCGACCATGTTTCACTGGGAATCACAGTTGTGGAATATAGTTGGTTTTGCAGTCTTTTAACTTGCTTTTCCTGAAAGAAATATTAAAACCAGAAAATAATTTAAAGTATTAGCAAAATAAAATAACCATAGAGAAACAGATTATAGAACAATGATGATCTTTTCTTTCTTAGATAAAATCAGGTGTTTAACTACAGTAAGATACTGTCATGTGCATGAGACTCACACGTGAAATGGAAATACAATTTCTAAAGCTCACGAGTAGGTTCACAAGACACCTTCCCCCTTAAAAAAATGAAGAGAAAACATCCATTGGAGACATTAGAAATGCTCAGTGAATCAAATTAGCAGTATACACTGTATAGAATGTAGAATAGTAGTGTAGGACATAGTGGTAACTTAGTATTTATGTTTAGATTTGTGGAATTTAAAGATGATGCTGTGGTTAATTTGTATCTAGATGTTAGGAATCAGTAGGGAGTGAAAGTTTAAAAAAAGAAAAATGTTTTTATACAAATGAAAAATAGCTTGCAATTTCTTTGAAAAAAATGCTACTATTTGGAACACCCAGTAGGTGCTTTTATAGCCAGATTAGATTTGAAATGTCTCCTTCGACGAAGGAGTAACAGCATGTATTTTAATTTATTTTAGAGATTAGGTTTTGTATATGGTGTTTGATTCACCACTAGGTGATGCTGTTGATTCAGGCTTTTAAAAACTGCAACAGTCATTTTTTTCCCATTTTTCTGCCTGAGTAGGGACAATAAAAGGTTTGTATGCATGGTTTGTGACTGGTTTGTTTGTGTGTGTGTTTTAAGAGAGAGATCACAGGGCCTATCCTCAGATTTAAGACTGATTTTTGGCGCAGTGATGAGTCCTGATAACTTTGTCATTTTAGGGTGGCATGTGGGAAATGAGCCTGTGCATCTCAACCTAGTTTCTCTTGGGACGGAATACTGTAGTTGTAATTTCCAAGCCTGTAGTAATCAAGGGAAAGAGTGCTGACTGTGGAGGCTAAATTGCCTTTCAGTTATCAGCTTCAAGATTGAAGCATAATGCTGTATCTTCTCTGCTATGTTACAGAGGCATTGTTGCTGTATTCTTAAAGACAAATTCCTTGATCATCTATACCCTTTAGATCTCTGAGCACTCTTTGGAGAGTGCCAAGAGCACTGTAAATAAAATACTGTGGGTAGAAGATTTTGCAGTATTCTCTGCAGTGACATTATACACAATCTAAATGATTCACACTCCTAAGTGCCTGCAAATGACAACGCATAGTCTGTGTCACTATATTCCCAGTTCATGGTTTGTATTCCATATACCTGAAGAGGGTCTTCAAAAATTATGCTGCTCAATAATCCTTTTATTTATAACGATACTTTCATAGTGAGCCAGACATGCTAGTTGCATGGCAACTTTTGGACAATCTTGGGAATTGGGGTGAGGTGGCCATCATCCACTACTGAGAGAAGCAGGGGAAAAAATGAAAAACACACAGACCTTCAGCTTCAAGAATATCTTCAGAGAGAATGACAGCAAAACATCTGGCATGTTCACATGAGAGAATTCACATTCTCTTATCATAGGTGCACCTATGTCAAGTATTCTCTGGATAGAGTGTTAACCTCAGCGTCCCCAGGGTCACACTTTCCCCTTCTTAGTAGGTAGATGCCTTTCTCAGAGGATATGTCACTGACAGTGGTCTGGTGGGATCATCCCTACTGCTGTACACCAATCTACAAATGGTACTGCACTGGACTCGACTCTTCTAGCAGTCATGGTAGCAGTCCCTCCCTGGGGACTGTCTAGTTTCCTTCACTGACAAAATGATTTTTACTAACACTGAGTGACTAGTGTCTTCCTGGTATCATATGGCAACCAGACTCCCCAAGTGGATGGCAGCATCTAATTAGTTTTCTGGAGTCTTCCACATCTACTATCCCTAATGGGGAAAAGCCCACTTGTTTTTCTGCCGTGACTTGTTCATAGCACTAATCTTAAACCTTTCCTGAAAAGTTTCCCAGTGTCACCCAAGGACCAGAATCAGCATCATTCCAGTGATTCTGTTTCTGAGCTCCCTGATCTTATAAACTGAAGCAGCCAGGGCCTACGAGAGGGAGGGTTATAAGACATATCTGAGGTATTGACAATTTAAGAGAAGAGTTGGCAAGGGCAAGGTGCACAGCTAGGTTGGGTTCGAGAACAAGTTTCACATTCACACTCTGTACCCTCTGACCGGGCTTAGGCACACAGAATGCTGGCATTGGCATTACCATGTCTGGCAGCTGTACCTTTTGGTTCATCAGCTGCACATGTGAGAGCAAAGCATGTTCCCCGGTCCAGAGCCTTCAGTGCAGTGTTTCTGACAAAATCTCACAAACTACAGCCAGTGATTCTGACAGTCTCTCCTATCTGCCACCTCCCTCGTAGAAGAGAATCAGGAGCCATTCCACCTCTTCACTGTACAGGACCTCTTGCCTACCCTGACTTTACTCAGGATTTTAGTCAAATAGTAAGTCATTACAGGAACAGGGCTATACTAGGGTAGTGGCTCATCCGTGAGCAGCATCTGGTCTTGCCTGAATACTTCTGCAGGGAGCGTGACAGCACAGGTACACTCAAGTTCCTGACAGCTGAAGCTAGAAAGTAAAAGATGGATTTTTGGCTCGGGGAAGTTCTCTAGGCTTCTCTGTCATGACTGTAGCCAGGTTATGATGAGTATCTCCACACCTCCTTTGAGCACTTGTGGGGCAGCCCTATAGGTTGGCCTGTTTATTTACTCTTCAGGATCTGTGTTTATGGGCTTGGAGAATCCAGACAAGTAATAAGGGCACTGAGCAGAATCCTGTGGGCCTCAGCATTGTAAGTAGGCATCCATAGTTGTAGGAAATCAACCTGGCAGCCTGCTTTTGAGGATAAGTGCATGCATCTCATTACAGGGATGAGAGGTAGAGCCTGGGGAAATGGCAAGAAGTTGTTATGCTCCTGGTTGGCAAAAATATGCCACAGGTTGACTGCTGGGAAAGCTTTTGGAGTATTTAGTTTGTTTGGGTTTTTTGGAGAGGAGGGAGGAAAGCTCTTGTGAAGTAGTCTTTGAGAGACTGATGTTAAATGCCTTTTAGTGAGGAAAGGGGCAACAGCACATATTCTGGGCTCATGGCCCAGAACTACAGGGTAAGGAGCACTAATAGTCCTCATTTTTATTTACTGTGTTTCCACAGATTCACGTTGGTACTGCTAGAGCACTCTTTATTTATTGCTTGCTTTGAATGGCCAAGCCAGAACATGACTTGTGTTTATGCACTTTGTCTTTTCTAATTAATCTGCCTGAAGCCATAGCTGAAAGAGACCTTTGGATGCATTTTATCCGAACAGATTTTGAAAAATTCCAGATGGTCCCAATAAATAGCAGAGACCTGTCTCTCGGAGCTCTGTGACAGGCCTACGTCAAGATTGAGCTGGCCTCTGTAGGAAAGGTTGGCCTATATGTAAACATTTTCTTTTTATTTATTTATTTTAAATCTTCTTGAAGGACAACTAGTCCCTGAAGTACTAGCAAGACTGAGCTGGCTTTTAAGGGCATACCTTACCAGTATCTTCTCTGTTTGGGAGTGCAGTTTACTTTCACTTGGCAACAGAAAAAAAAAAATCAATATACTTGCAAACTATAAACTTTATTGTTGTCAGTATCTTTCTGTTCTTGGGATTCACTGTCCTTTGGGCATGGCTTATTTTATCAAGTGCTATATATACATCTGTGCCTTTGCCTCAGAGGTAGGAAGTCTTCCACCCTTAGTGGCACAATCTGGTAAACTCTCCCTAGGCAGCGGGAAATTCCAATTCATATGTTTGGAGGAAGAGTACAGAGTTAGCAAGGGGTTGTGTCGCTGGGAGTGATGAGAGGTTTATGGTGATTGGGAATGTGTGGATGGCACTCTTACAGCAGGACTTGGGAAAACCTTGCGTGACCCTGCCTGCTTTGCCTTACACTGGCTGTTGGACATGCCTGGATGGGGAGCACAAGCACAAGCAGGAGGCACATTCCCTGGGATGGTCCTTCTTAGTAATTTAACAGAAACTTGACAGAAAAAAAAAAAATGGTTTTGAGAGGTCTTCCTGCTTCTGCTTTCAGTACCTATTTTTACACAGAGCAAACATGTTTATCTTCAGAAATATCACTGTTTGGTAGCTGCAAAGTATTTTTCATTAAAAAAAAATAGATTGAAAGACTGCTCTGTTAAGTTTTTACTGTTTCACAAATAATAAGACATTAAGTAGTTTATGTGGCAGTAGTAAGGGAAATGTAATGAATGTGGATGGGTAGGAAATATCAGAATATGGTATCTGGTGATTTTCTATATCTGTTGGCTGTAAATCTTAAAATGGGGAAAAATTTTTGAGCACGTACCGCCAGTATGCATACGTACATATATGTTTATAAATTATATGCATGTACTACTGTACTAATATATTATGCAATTATAAAACATACACAAAACTAGAAACTAAAAAAGGATTAAATAAAGATTAAGTAATCACTATTTTTAAAATATTTATTTTGGTTGTTAATGGTACCAAAAAAGTTTTCTTCCTGCACCCGATGGTATTGTCTTGCACAGCTGCTGGGGTGCACACACCCCACTTTGGAGACCACCATTTTAATCTGTACTAAGACACTACCTACAGTTTTATAAATGCATGTTTAATACTTGCTCCAGTAAATATTCACAGATTTCACTGGTGTTTGTAGATTCCAGGCTTTGACTGGAGGAGAAGTCAAGAAAGTATCAGAGAAGACTGAGTAAAAGTTGGTTATGTTGATGCCTTTAACTTTAATATATTAATAATTTATAAATAATAATATATTAAAATATGTAAATATACAATATAAATATTTTAAATATATTTATAACTTTAGTATTGACAGAATTCATTCTCCTACAGTGAAGATTTATAACACTGTCCCTCTTGTCTGTTCTACTGCTGTAAACAGAAAGAGCTAGGGACATACATTAGGTTAAAATGTAATAGTTTAATTGTAAGAACTGCAAGGAACTTGAGAATAAGTCATGTGATCTCAATAATTTGATGATACACTGTAAAATGGTGGAAGAAAAAATATTTTATACAAGTCTGTGCTGTTATGCATTTTTTTTTTAAAATCAACCTTCTCTTCTATTACAGGAATATGAGGCCTTAACCAAACAACCAGCTTGCAATCCAGATGTTTGGGTGAACCTTGCCTGTACATACTTCTTTCTGGGGATGTATACGCAAGCTGAACAAGCAGCCTTGAAGGGTAAGATATATGTCTCTGATGGAACTTGTTGATTTGAACACTTAAAGTGAATTCCAGAGAAAGTTTGTTTGGTTTTTTTTTTTTTTCCATGGGAATAAAGCATACTTTTGAGTAGATTTTTTGGGAGTTAGGTTTTTCTTTGTTTGTTTTTTTCTTTTTTTTTTTTTTTTTTTTCATTTAACAGTTGACTTATAGCAGAGTTTGCTTCCTAAAAATACATTGGGCAGGTGGAGCAGCTGAAACTGAACGAAGCATCTGGAAAATAATTTCTCTTATTGATTGCCAAATACAAATCCCAGCATATGCTGACCAGCAGCAAAAAGTTACTTTTCTTTTGAACTGATTCCATGTCTCTGAGCCAGTGCAGATAAAGCTAATTAGGCCAGTGAAATTATCAAAAAATAAGCATCTGAGAGAGTTCAGCGTTGTCCCTGATGTGGACAAGAACTCTGTTTACATATTTTGAGTGACTTAGTAGGTGGTCTTGTTGCCTTATAAGTCAAATATTAAGTATCTGATTCTTCAAGACACAGAGTTCACTGCAGTCACATTGTTACAGGTCTTCTTTAATCTGAACATGCATGGAATCATTTAAAGAAGAGGAGTTCTTTAAATGATTCCAAGGCAATTTTTACTGCCTAAAAATGTTTCTGCAGTTTAATTTTGTTACCCATCACTTTCCAGTTATCTTAGTGATTTATATTGTTTCCCATAACCATAGTATCTCAGTGTTTTCTAAGTAGAATTAATAGTAGTGATGTTCTCAGTCAACCTCTGACTCTTGCCTTTTTAGGATAAAACTCCTACTGAAGTATGGGTTTTCTCCTTTCTTTCTTTAGTTTTCTAGTCTCGTGCTGGAAATAGAGTGGGGAGAGAATAATTGTGTACTTTCTGCTACTGTGGAGGAGTGCTTTCAAAAAGGACAGTTCTGTAGTATTTTTTAGGAATAATTAGATTATTGTATCCCTTTAAAATCCTCTGAAAGATCATGCTGAGCACAAATCCCACAACTGGAATTGTTTTGTTTCCAACTGTAAGAAGTTTCTTGCAGAGCTTTGTGATCTGTATTGTTCAAGAGATTTTCTCATATTCACAGATAATAGTTTAAACTTTAATGTACCACAAATTTGAGTTTTGGAGATTACAATCTAGGATTTGAACTGGAATTTAAAAATAATTGGGCAATAGAATCTGAGGTGTCACTTTGACCTAAACCACGGAGGAAGCAAGTGGCTGCATCCTGTACCAGTTGGAGTCATTGTCATCAGCTTCACATTGTGTGAATTAACAACAATCCATTCTAGAGATGACAGTTACACAGCTGGACATGCACTTTTACTAACTGTGAGCTGGAAGTGAGGGAAGGTTAATTTTTTTGTACCCCTTCAGAGTAGTTGGTAGTAGCATGGTGAGTGGCAGGATAGAGGGTGTGGTTAGTGGTACCTGGGTGCGGGAGGAAAAGGCAGGAATATTGAGAAAGGAGTGCAAGATGTGGGGAGTGTAGCTGAGGGAGGCAACAGAAATAACTGAGTGCTCATGCTAGTAATATCCGTTCCTGATTTTATGTAATTGTTTTAAGAAGGACAGCACTGCAGTTTTTACAGTGAGATGCTAAAACCTTTCTTGTGAGTATTGTAATAATAATGATTTCTGACTATTTAAGCTTGGTGGGGAGGCAGTCACAGCTGAAGATTTTTAACACTTTTCTCCGCTGAAGGCTTCCAAGTATTGTATATTCCCCTTTCCACTCCCATCACTTCAGTCTTTCTTACATTGAGGCTGAATCATTTTATATGCACTCAAGACAGATCCTCTTTTAGGTTTTTTTAACATTTTAGGATTGCATCAGTGATGGCTGTTCACAGCATATTATTGACAGTTGAGGCCATAACATCTTGTGATCTCTTCCATGGTTTTGCAAAGATCCTGAAGCAGCAAAATATTTCACTGAATATAGACACAACAGGTAAAGTCTCTAGAAGGACACCATTTATCTAGTACTACCTTGAATAATGCTGAAAAAATGATAGATAGTGTTAGTGTTGGGCTGCTTACCATTGCTGTTTCGGCATTATTTTACCTGAATTCTTGCATAATGCTTGCTGTTTATTGCTGCAGTTATGCTAAGCCCCTGAAAGTAGCATAGTGCTAAAACAAATAAGGGAGAAATAATTTATTTTCAGCTATATTTCTAAATTTCTGCAGTGATGGAATCTCTGCGTGAAAGGGAACATAAATGTCAGCTAGCTTTCTGGAATAGATTTTCCACACAAACGTGTAAATATCTAGAAATCAGATAGAAGTTCCTTCTTGCCATATACTGTTGCTGTTGCTTAAGAAAATTATTGTTAACTAAGGAAATATATGCAGGATATTTAAAAATTAGGAAATCAGCATTAAAAGCCCTGAGTTAGTTATTGCATTTCAAGCAAGGTATATAGTCCACAATCACTTGTGGAGCAAGGTTTTATGTTTATTTTGTAATAGATGTAAAGTGTTCTGTTAACTTGTCATTCCTTAATTAAAACTTCATGGTACATTCTCTCAGGAAAGAATAAATCTGTATATCAAAAGTCATATAAGCCAGAATTACTGCAAGTATAACCTGAGAAGTAGAGCAAAAAGGCAATAAAGAAAAATCCTTCTTCGAAGGTTTTTTCATTACAGTTGTACTGTATCTTCTCTAGTCTTTCTTCCAAATCCCTGTCAGATATTTCTGGCTTCTCCTTTTTCCCTACTGTCCCTTTATATTACAGTTACTAATGTTCCTGGATCTGACGTGAAGGTAGTTACTTCGGGTCAGCTGCTGTTGTTTCTTAGTCATTCCGTAGTGAAGTTGCCAAGTGATGCTTTGTTTACTGCTTTTGTGTCTGTGCTCTCATACATTGGCTGAATATGTTTTCCATGCTGTGTGCTAGCCCATCCAGTCTTGGGAGAATGAGACTGAAAGTCTTCCTGATGGTTTAATTAATAATAATAATAATAATAATAACAACAACAACAACAACAACAACATACATACATACATACATACATACTATTTTTGAATTATAAAACCAAAATAATCTTATGTTGCATTCCCAGTTCCTGTACCTTGCAAAGGACAAAGACCAGAAACTAAGCCTGGCACACTTGCATGGTGATCCTGGGGACTGATCCTAGTGTTTAGAAGCCTGCATAGTGCTCTCAGAAGCCATTGACTAGTGCTGCATTAAGAAAAACACAAGAACTAACAGTGCTCCTTTAAACCACAAAATGTGCACATAACTGGTGCTGCAGTTAAATCTGTTATGAAAAACAGTCCTTTTAGGATAAACAGAATTTTACAACTAAATTTAAGATTCATGCACAGACAGGGTTGTGTTGCTGAACCAGTCATTAAAGTTGTTGTTGTTGTTGTTTTCTTTCTTCCTCCCTTCTAATTTTTGATGGGCAAAGCTTTTTAATTACTTTACTTCACAAATTTGCATGTGTCAATCTGAATGTGGTTTAACTGAACAGAGATACTTCTCATTTCACAGCCTGTTCTGGAAGGAGCAATATTATACAAAAGCAGAACAAAGATGGGTTAGTAAGAACAATGACATTTTCCAAACTAGTTTTGCTTGTGCATGTACTAATGTTTGCCAGGTGTCAGATAGTTGTCACCAGTGAAAATGTGTGGTTACAAGAGGGCATGGAAAAGTTGCTGAGTTTTCTTTTTCTTTAGACTGCATGTTTACCTACATGCAAAATTATCTGCTTTTTGCTTGTACAGTATTTCTTGAGAACAGTAGTTCATTTTCATTGCATTTTAGTTGTGATTTTGAACTAGCAGAGTTTGATATATGGAACTTTCAAAGTGCACAAGTGAAAATACCAATTTATACGTATTTAAACCTTAAAAACTACTAACCTTATTTTCTTGTTTTGCTTTTTAAAGTCTAGTGGAAGCTACAGAACGGGAATAATTTTTTGCTTCTGTGATCTTTAACTTACTGTGCTTAGGCATGACTGAAATGTGTTTATACTGCAAGTAAATGAACATAGTTGAACTGGCTTTTAAGTATTTTGGGAATGGGAAAATTTCAGTGCATGTCCTCTGTAAATTTCATTCAAGAAGATTCTGAACAGTTGAGCTATTCAAGTGTGTGTAAGTGTGAACCTCACTGTTGCCATGGTTTTTCCAAACATTTTTCCCATACCCTTGCATTTTCCCTCCACCAGTGAGACTGTGGTTCTGAGGCACAGAGGGTTTCATTCAGCTACTGTACTCAGGTGAGCAGGGCGTCATTTCTCAGGGACAGGAGAATAAGGTTTACTCTGGTCATATTTTCTGTGTTGTCAGGCTGGAGCCTTCTCAGCACTGTTCCATTCCCACCAGCTCCTGCTATGTATGTTGAAGATCCATTCTACATCTGTTAATTTGTGAAGTGCTGCTATAGGGTATGCTTTATGTCTGCTGGATGGGATTTGTGATTTGTTAATGCTGGATGCATGACCAATATTGCCTTGCACTGTTACGGGAGGGCACAAATGCAGATTATCCATGACTGTATTTCATTATCTTTTTACTGCCTGTGATAGCAATGTGGAACCCACCAAGACTCTGAGCTGCCATTTCTAATGAGCTTAACTTTTTGATTAATAATTAGTGAAGATAACTGTCTTCACTCTTATTGTAGCTGCTTATTATATTTTAACAAATACTTCACTAGGTGCCTGTTCAGTGTCAGCACATAAAAATATACAGAACACTTTTAAGATCAATGTCAACTATTACTTTAGTGCCTGGAACATCAGCACTGACAAAAATTCTAGCTTAGGAATACCGGTGTGTTTCCTAGCTGGAAAGAGATATATACTATCCAGCTACCTCAGCACAAGCCCAATACTGGACCTGGGGCGGGGTCCAGTTTGCCATGCGGCGTTGTCATCATGTTTGTTATGATCCCTAGAATGCTTAGTACAGATTTAAAAAAAAAAAAAAAAAAAAAAAAAAAAAAAAAGGTACAGTCATCTTCTTGAAGAAGTAGGACAGGAAAAGAAGGATTGTGCTTCCTTGTGGCATTAATAGATCAGTGACAGTGAAATTCAGTAGCAGCAGAGAGTAATAAAAAACCAAGCCTAACACCCCTTAAAAGTAATTATTTCTGAGGCAGTTGCATTACTTCCTGCTCTAGTGACTGACAACAGCTTTATCCAATATTCATAACCAAATTCTTTTTGGAAACTAATCTGACCTTGTTCATATGTTTCTTTGTCTTCCTCAAAAAAATGCATTTGTCACTGGGAGAAAATAAACTGCTGGTATTGAATGTTTCCATGGTTCTGCTTACTATATCAACAGGACTACATTTTTTTGGTTTTTGCTTCTCTCCTGCTCTGGCTGACATGAAATAAAAGTATTGTTTTGAAGAATATCAAGTGGATAGTTACAAAGTAGGATATTTTTTCTCCCTCCATATATCCATGCATATCATCAGAACTGAGGTTTCATCTTTTGCTGTTTTTTAGGGGTAAATTAACGTGGACTAACCTTCCAGCTTTTGCCAAGAGGTAAATAATAATTTTGATGTCAGATCAGATGCCAGGTTTACGAGGGCAGCACTGCAGTCATTGTTTGACCAGTGGAACAAGAATTCCTTGGTTTAGATTCTTCAGGGAGTATTGCTTGCAAGTCACAATTTTCACAGTGAAATTAATGCTAAAACCCACTCAAAAAAAAATAAAAAAGAAAGGCGAAACCTACTCAAAAAAGGAACATTGGTGTCTTTACCCATAGTGCTGTGATTATACGATATGTTATTTTCAGTATAAATCCCACAATCTGTCCTGCTTGTATTTTTGGAGTCTTTGATGACCAAATGTTTTGAATTGTGAAGGGTGGTTGTGGTTGGTTTAAGTTTTGCACAAAAGCACATGTGGGGTCCATGTGCAACCCTTCTAAACTTTGATATTAAAACATATCAGCTAATGCTGGGGCACATGTGGAGTTACCACAGTACCATTGCTGACAACGTTTTGAAGAACATGCATTTAAATTAAAGTACTCTTAACTTTCAAAGTCCATGGATGAAAAAATTTCTAGAATGTGTTATCGTGCCAGTTATACTACTACAGCTGCTTATACGATGTTAATTGTAAATCAGAAAAACTTTCTGTTCTTTAATAATTGGGCTAATGAAAATTCCCACATATATCCTAGACTGAAGACCATTTAGTTTCTTAAGAACTTAATTATCTGTTAGTAATACCTTGCAAGATGTGGTTTTGTGAGAACGTTCTCATACTGCCTTTGCCTTTTGGGACTCCTCTGTTCTAGCAGTTCTTTAAATACAGTTCACTGTCTTCTTTTTCTAGGAACATGGTTAAATAACATAGCTTGGGAAAGAAGAAAGGGGAGAAATAATTGCTGTGCCTATCAGAACTAGGTGGTCAGCCTTACACTGCCAACCTGAGTTTTGGCATTGTCCACTGTGTTAAAGTTTTCTTACGATGTGGAGAAAGAGTAAAAAGTCTGGAAATCTCTCCCTAAATTGCATTTTAAAAAAATTAAATCTAACTTATTACTAGAAAATTCCATCTTGGAGTGGGGAGGGAAGAGGTTTTGGTGGTTTGAGCCCTCTTTCATGGTTTAGGATGTCAGAAGAATTATAGCCTTGTGTTACAGGCCATTGCTTTGCTAACTCTGCACTTTTGTGGCCCCATAAACACAGTAAGTAATTCTGCTTTTTGTAAAGATTCCGTGTACATTCTTTCTGTGTAACATAGGTTGCCAGCTGGTTAGTCTGAGCAAGAATGAGAGTGCTCATTAACTAAGTAGGCTAAAGAAGATACAGGGAACAAGGGAAGGCTTTTTGGAAGATTGCTTGCAAAAGAAATTAATAGCTCTGTTGGACGAGGACCTTTGTCACTCTGTGAAGCACAAGGCTCTCTCTAGTGGTTTAAGCCTCTGCAGTTAACAATTTGTGTCATATGGAGAGAGTTAAGTGGAATTCCTAATCCTGCTAGAGCAAGAAATTTAATGAACTTTAGTGACTCTAGAAAGGAGATGTCTCCCTTAAATCTCTCGCCATATCGTGGTTTGAATCTTGTCTACTCTGACTGCAGGATTCTTTCATGTGCAGTTTGTTCCTAAGGTCAGAAGAAATATTAGAACTAAGTATAATATAATGTGCACACATAGCAAAATGGTAGCAGCAATGGCTTTTGCAATACACTGGAAGTTGACAAGATTCCTAGAATTATCAATCACAACTTACTTAAAATGTGACATGTCATAGAAGGGGCCTTGACTATGAGTTTATCTGTTGCTGCTTTTTATTTTGTAAAAGGTGCCGTCCTGTGTGTCACAAAAAAACCAGAGAATTATCCAGAAGGCTCAGCAGGAAAATGATAGTGCAATTAATAAAAGCTTTAAGGCTTGTGAAAGACAGAGGCCAATGAACAGTTATTTTCAAGAGGGATTTCTAAAGTAATGGTTAAGGAATGAAGATGGGAAGCAGGAAGGCCTTTAAACCACTCTAAAATTAGTATAACCTGCCCCAGGGCATGACCTTCAAGGGCTGTATCAGTGAAGAACTGTACAGGGGCTAGATAAGGAAAGAATATGGGTGCATGCATGTCTGTTGAGAAAGAGTTAAAAATAAGAGACACCCGGAATTGTTCTTTTCGGTGATATTTACTGAATTTTCCTTTCAGCACCTAAGAGTCGTCTCCAGAACCGTTTACTCTTTCACCTGGCACATAAGGTATGATGTCTTTTCTTCACTCATGCATTGTTTGTTTTCTTTTCAATTTGGTAATGTGTAATTTATCCTGGCAACCTGGCAGAATAATTAAAATGTCTGTGGTGGCAGGAGAACAAACGTTTTCTGTAACCACCCTGCTGTATTAAAACGTGGAGGAGAAAGTAAGTGTGAAAACATGATCTCAGAATAGATGCCCTCAGCATGTATCTACGGAAAGTCTTACCAATGCAATTCACATAAGTCATAGAACAGGAACTTTATGGTATTTTTGATCATGAGGAACCTGGAACTTGAATAGAATCAGAAATGTATAAGCTGCTATTTTTCTTTTTCTTTGAAATGTACCAAGTTTTCTTAACTTGCAGCTGTCTTATACTTAGCAATTTGACCAAAATAGTCTATATGCTGTTACTGATGCTCCTAAGTCATTCAGTAACCAAGAAGTAATATTATTTATAGCATGAAATCTACTTTAATTTCAACAACAATTAAATGCTTATTTCACTTGCCACACATAACTATCTTTCCTTAAATTTAGTTTTGAACCATCCTGTGTTATACTTAACAAGTATTGTGCTACTGAAGAGTCTGAGTTGAAAGTGTAAATCCTGAATGTTAGCTTTGATGTCAAATTCTTTTTACTTAAATATTTGTTAAATTGAAGAGAGAAATCCTAAAGCATTTTTGTAGTGTCTGTGATAGAGAAGTTGAATAATTCCTAGTTGATGTAGTTAGGTTTTGGAAATTAGGGGGTTTACGAAACTATGAAGCCCATTGCCTTTAACTCTGTTAAGCAACTTCTTTTGCCTTTGCACTGGAGTATCATTCTGTGACTGGCTTAAAAAGGGAGGAAAATGATTTGAAGAAAACTGGGCAGATAAATGAAAACCAAATACATAAAATAGAATTTGTGTGTAAGAGAAATTAATAATTATGTTAAATCAGCAGAACCAGCAAAGGGAACCACTGGAATAAGAGATTTGAGTAGACTGATTAGGTGAATAGCCTCAACTTTGCTATTGTAATACAAATATAATGGGTATGTTTAACTCTGTTCCTTGTTTTTATCCTTGTGTGCATGTTATGTGCTCTCCGGCAATGCTTTTAAAAACAAACCATTTAGTTAAAGAAACTGGAATTTTAAGGGGCTAATGAAACAGAATTTGTGAGTGTTGTAAAGAGGTTTTGTGAAAATTAGTCCTTGTGTGTTGGCAAGTCTTGTGTTTTTCTGCTATCCATGAGAAATAAGGTTTGGATCTACAAACAGCAAAATTTCTGCTGGCTCAAATAGTAACAGTCAAATCATGTGTTGCAAAATTCTGTTTGTGAAATAATTTATTCAGCTCTTCCGCTCTTATCCATCAAGGCATGTGACATGTAATTACATATAAATCACACCTTAAAGGAAAATGTGTATTTAGTTTTAGCCTCACATTTATCCAGTTTCAACTGGCCTGCTGTTTTAATGTTTGGTTTTCTCCACTGGTCAAATTATCTTTAAAGTAACAGAGGTTTTCCAGATGTTTAATATGAATCACCTGCTGTTTGCCAGCAAGGACAAAACTAATCCAGCTAATTAAAACGTCTTTCTTGCTGAACTCTTCTGAGAATGTGTCACACTCTCGTTTTAGTTCAGTGATGAGAAGAAACTGATGAGCTCTCACCAGAATCTGCAAGACATTACAGAAGATCAGCTTAGCTTGGCATCTATCCACTACATGCGGTCCCACTACCAAGAAGCTATTGATATCTACAAACGCATTCTTCTTGATAATCGGTGGGCATCTCTACCCTAAACCTTATTGCAGTGTCTTGGATACTGTTGGTATTTGAATTCCATTTAGTTGCTTGGTTTCTGAAAGTAGAAGTTTTCCCCAATTACTATGTCCCTTTTCCACCACAAGATGTGCACGAGTTGCAGCCCCCTCAATTTTGTTCATTGGAAAGCTATATTGAAAAATGTATGTTTAAAAAGAAGTCTGCTTTCTGTTGCTTTCTTTTAGTGATATTTTAGTGTAATTAATCCTGAGACCTTTTTAAATTTTGTTACTTACTTCTGAAATGATATATGGTTATGTACCTGCTTTTGTCTTTTTCTTTTTTACCCCCCGACGGTCAGTCTGGTGACCCTTGCTTGTGATTATTGACTTCTCATGCACCTCTTAGTCTTTCTAAGAAGAGTTCAGTTCTTAGTTTTTATATAGAGAGTTCCTTGCATTCCTTTCAGTCTGAAATTCTTTCCATTTCTGTTTATCCTGCTATGATACTTGTTGATGGTTTTTCCTATCATATTCTGAAAGTTCTTAGTTCAGAATTTAACAAGGAACAAACTGAATTCTCAAGTGGCTGGAAGTATTGTTTAATAAAATAGAAACTGCTGTCCCAGAATACATAGCTATCTTTTGACACTATCTCCTTTTGAATGCTTCAGAGAAGTCCATCATAATGCATATAAATATGTCCTGTAATGCTTGGGGAAGAGATTTTAACTTCCAAGTCCTGTAGAAGCAGTCACTCAAAGCTAAATGAGTAACCTTCATAACACTTATCATTTTGCTTACTGTTTCCACAAATGCCTGTCTTATTTCTGGGTCTAGTTCTTCTGGCTTGATAGCTTGTAACGTCAAGGATTTTTTGAAATAACTGTACTTGGTATAAGATAATAAGAGCCATTAAAATATTTTCAAAGGTTTATGTGCATATTAAATGTCTTTATATGTATTGCATAGAAAATCCTATTGTCAGGCCAAATACAGTACCCATGTTCTGTGCATTTCCTTAGTGTGAAGTTGCCACTATTTCCCAGATTTGCAAACCAAAAGTTTTGTACATAATTCTTTAAAGCTGCAGTAGCTGCCATTGAAAAAACTAATGCAAATCTGGATCTGGATCTGCACAGTCTTAGCTAACGGACTAGAGCTCTAAAAGCTCTAAGGATTTCTCAGAAACTCCAGTTTTGATGTGCCTGTAAAAGGTGTGTGGACATGTGGAAGCTTTATCACTGATTTTAATGTTCTGTAGTATAACTATCTGTGGGATTTAAATGTTCTCTTCAACCCTCTTTCCTGCAGGGAATATCTGGCTCTGAACGTATACGTGGCCCTATGCTATTACAAACTGGATTACTATGATGTATCACAGGAAGTGCTAGCTGTTTATCTTCAGCAAGTTCCTGACAGCACCATTGCTCTTAACCTTAAGGCTTGTAACCATTTCCGACTTTACAATGGGAAGGCTGCAGAGGTATCTATTGGACAGCCCTTCAGCTCACCTTTATTTTAGTTCAAGATTCCATACAGCTTTCTCTTCTTTGTTAGCTGTCTTAATCAGTAGTGTTGATAATGGCCTTTATCTTGTCATTGTGTCCTCTTAGGAATGTCACCTATTTCACTTTCCCTGGTATTAAGCCAGCTGTCCACATGTGTGCACAGTGGTCTTACAGTTTTCCCAGTCCACTTTTGACTTTGTGTCTATATGCATTATCCAATTGCTAAATAGTCACATAGAAGTGGGAAGGCAAAAATTTTCCAGTGACCCAGCACTGTTGGAGGTGTCTTTCTGTCAGCTTTTGGTCTCATGTGAAGCTCGGTTTATGCTTGTGTGCTTTTTTGTTTTAGTGTTAAAATTTTGGAATGTATGTAATTCCAGGCAGAGCTCAAGAACTTGACAGACAGTGCCTCCTCGTCTTTTGAGTTTGGCAAGGAGCTCATTAAGCACAATCTGGTGAGTAATGTATTTCTTGGAGTTTATATGAACTGCACTCATTTGGAGAGCTTTTCTTGATTCATAAAATGAAATATTTTGGGAATTGCAGACCAAATTGAATCTTTGCTGCCATATAAGTCCCATACCAGAAATCCTAACTATATCATCAATGTGCCATCAACTGTATTTTTTTTTTTTTACCCTGGAATTCTTCATTGTCAGTTTGAGACTCTGTAAAGAAAATAATAATGCTGTTGCTTTTACACCAAAAGGCATATTAAAATAATTTATGTCCTGTAGAGAATACTTTTGCAAGATATTTTGTGGAGCCCAGTCAATAAGGACACCGTAGAAACAAGTCAGAATGCATGACCCTGAACTCTTATTTAGTACAACAACAGAGTGAAATTAAGATAACTCAGGAAAATGGTCTTCTTTGGATAACAGTAGATTGCTCTTATTTAATGATGGACAGTTGCTTGCATTGTCCTTTTTCAAGAGCAGTCACAACAAGCTAACACTTTTTTCCCCAAGAGTTAAAATTGCTTTCAAACTGGACTTTTGTAAGTTAACATTCTTTATTTTTAATGTTGGTATATTTGCCAGTGGTTTGTTGAATAAGTATGTTAGGTTTTGTTGGGGGAACTGTCATGTAAAACTGAAACATAAAGAATCAACTGATCCTGATCGTTTTAGGATCTTGTGGCATTCTAAATAAATGTAGAGTTGTTAACCTATTTTTTTCATATGAATACATCATAAGCAAATTTTAATTCTGTATGTGTTCCCCTCACTCTTTTCTCAGACCATATTATTCTTTAAAATCTTTGATATATAATGTAGCACTGCTTTGTACTGCTAAAAGCTGAAATAAATTATTCTTTGCTGATGGATTAAATACTTTATATTCTTCAGAATAAAGACTGTCACACGTTGTAATTCTGTTGTTCTATTAAAGCAGGGATTACGCTAATGTCAGTACCACTGACCTTTTCCCATTGTAATATAGGAATTTAAAGATTCATTTCCTTGAATTAAGAGACCATAGACAAGATTTTAATACACAGTTATCAACATGCTGCTTTTCTCTGCAGGTGGTATTCCGAGGAGGAGAAGGGGCTTTGCAGGTCCTGCCTCCTCTGGTTGATGTTATTCCTGAGGCAAGACTGAATCTTGTGATTTACTATCTCCGGCAAGGTAAATACACCTTCCTCCAGTTCTTTCATAGCTTCAGGGGTGACATTCATTCATCTGATCTCAACTGACTATTCAATGAAATGCTTTTTTTCTTTGCAGTAAAATGTAATTTATTTAATTTATTTTATTAACACAGATTCATTTTATTAGCATTTCATATTTAATTAATTTGTATATTACTATTCATTATTTTATTAACATCGTTTTATTAATTTTATTAATATTTAGTCATTTTACTAACATTTTATTCAAGGCAGGTCCAATTAGGCCAGGTTGCTTAGAAGATTGTCCTGATGAACATGTAGTCAGAACTTCCTCTGTCCACCTTGTGTCCACTGCCTCTCATCTCACCCTATAGAACACGTCTCCATCTTCTGTGTACCCTCCCACTAGTTAGTTGTAGCCAGTAATAAGATCTCCCTTGAGCCTACTCCTCTGAAAGCTAAGCAAATGCAATTCTCTCAGTCTCTCTTCAGCCCCCTACCTGCCTTGGGAGCCCTCTGATGGGCTCACTGCAGTATTTCAATGTCTGTCTTGATGGAGGGATCCCAAAACTGGACACAGTGCTCCAGGTGCAATCTCACAAATGCCAAATACAGAAGATGCCCTTGCCCTGTTGGCTACATTCTAGCTAATATGATCCAGTGTGCAGTTGGCCTCCTTTGCTGCAAGAGTGTGCTGCCTGTCAGGACCCCCAGGCTGCCTTTTAGCCAGTGAGCCCCCATCCTGTCTTGTTGCTTAGGATTGTTTCAAACCAAGCAAGATGCAGGACTTGCATTTTGCCTCCATTGAACTTAATGAGATTTCTTTCAGCCCATTTTTTTTTTTTCAGCCTGTTGAGCTTCTTAATAGCTGGGAGCTTTCTCCCCAGGCTTATCATCTGCAGACTTGCTGAGAGTACTACCTATCATCTAAGACATTCAACAGTATCAATCCCTGGGAGATTCAATTAGTAATGAGCAACCAGTTGGATTTTGTACAACTGATCACCCTCCTTTGGTAGTCCAGCCAGTTTTCCATCCCCTTATCACCTTAATTGGCCAGTCCTATCTCTCAAGTTTGGCTATGACAAAGGTATAAGAGACCATGTCAAAGACCTTGCTAAAGTCAAAATATACAGCATCCACTACTATCCCCTTATCCATACAACCAGTCATACATTGGGTTACTCAGTACACTTTGGCACTGGTAAATCTATGCCTGCTGTTCCCAGCCACCTTTCTGCCCGGTATCTCTGTTGCCAATATCACTATAGGTAATACTGGTATTATTACCAGTTATCTTGACCAATAATATTGTTAGTATATGTTTCAAAGTACATTCTACTTACACAGAAGCAAAGTACATCTTCTGCAACACTTAAAAATCAGTCTTGTTTACTCATTTGCTGTAAACCTTGCAGTAATTTTCATTAGTTAGGTTCTGTTCTTCACTGTGGTATACAAATGACTTGAATACTGACAAAGGATGCCAAAGGGAATTAGGATTAAAACCTCATTCCTAGTTAGGGTAAATTTCCATTTTAAAGTCTTGCTAGCGTAGCAGCATCCATTGAGAATGTGAGAAATCATTACTTCTAATGATTACAGATGTCTCTACAAGACTTACAAGGTCCATGATAAACATAGGCTTATGTTAAGACAAGTTCTGAACTGAAGTGACTGAAGCACAAACATGCATCCCATTTCTTTCAACTCTTTAAAGTAGTAACTTTTAGCAGGGTTTGGGGCCAGGTACCCAGTCATAATCTGCTCCGTTGACATTAGCTAGAGGTTTCTGCTGGAGCCTGGAGTGTAGTGTTGATGGTCTACACTGATGAAAATAAGAGCTGCTGTTATATTTTTGGTGGTGGTGGTGGTGAGCTGAGCTAACCAAAAATAACAAAAAAACCTATATTAAAAAAAAAAAAAAAAAGAAGTGATGATTGTTGGTTAGTTTAGTACCTTGTGCTGGCTTACTACATGACTGGTCAAGGAGATGGGTAGGAAAGCAGAGGGGTTGAATGGGAGCCTGGCAGCTCCAATGCATATTGCTTTAAGTCACCCTGGAGTGCTGTCCCAAAAGTGTATGGTTGGTATGTACTAGCAAAAAAAAATTTTGTTTGATAAGGCTTGATCTTATGGGCAGCTGGTATAATGCTGTACTAACAAAATTTTGCCAGTAAAAAGGTCATCTTCACTATGTTGGTTTAGGAAGCCAACCATAGTGCTAATATCTTTTTTGACTTAGGTAAAGTTTAGGATCTTTTCATGTTACTTATTTCTTGGATGGGAAGGAAGTTGTTTATTGAATTCAAACTTTACGTTTAAGCTTCTATACTAGTAGTGCTTTCTGCTAGTTAGAATTAGAATCAGGTAAGAGCTGCTGGACAGATTTTGAAATATTGATAAGGAGAAGATGAAGTTTCCCTTCAGAATCATGTTACCCTATCCTCCTTGAGGGGTAAATAAGTATGAGAAGAAAAAAGACCAGAAGATGATGGATTTATTATCTTGACCTTGTACAGTTGGGAAGGCAGCCACTGGATTATGAACAGGGGGCCAAGTCATCTCTACTAGGAAAATTGTAGTAATAAAGAAGCTATTACTCACTCTGTGTTTGTTATTTGAGTTCTAGAAAACCATCGCCGTTGTGATATAAATTCACAATGATTTATAGTTACCTTTCTCTTCCTGTCTAAATACTTTATTTCTTAGTCTATGACTACTGGGAAATGTTGTAGAGGATGAGTGACTTGTTCTAATATAGTGTGCTATGGGTTGTCATGCATTCTAACGTCTGGTATTTCAGATGATGTGCAGGAGGCTTATAACCTGATTAAGGACCTGGAACCTACAGCTCCACAGGTAATTGGAAACTGATGTCATGGTACATAAAGGCAGAGGTTATAAATTGATATGAAATCTGCCACATACAAAACTGGTATCTTGAGGACAGCTTGCCCCATTCCCACTCTTAAAATTTTCATGTTTTCCAACCTTTTATCAACAATAGGCTTAATGTACATGCATGAAGTCTTATATATGTGCATATATGAGTACTTAGCATGTTTATTACTGTTCCACCTGGGGTCAACTAAGAATGCATCTCTGTTACATGCAGACTTGATTCTGGGGAGCTGCGTAGATAAAAGCCCTCTTCCAACTACAACTGCTTGTCACTTCTGCCCTGGAGACAGTTACCATCCCTCAGATCTGCTAGCTCAGATACTCATGTGGATTGTCCTGAAGCCATTTCAGTAAAAATGAGGTAGATTAGATTAAACAGTTTAAATAATAGGTCTCTTCTAATCCCATCTCACTTTGGCTGTAATGAGTGAAAACTGCAGTGTCCCTTGGCTGCTACTGTAATTTTCTTTTGTGATTGTTCCAACATCTCTACTCTCTGATTTATTCCTCTTTGCAGTTTATTTTCCAAAGGTCACATAGCTGGGCATGAAAGGGACCTTTCATGAGTCTGTGTGGAGATTAGATGGAGGGAGGGAAAAAGAAAACCTCAAGAACATAGATCTGATGATTCTGTGCTGAGGAGTGCCTTCTGCTGTTGCTTTTCACTTCTCCTTGTGTTTTTCAGTACAACAAGACTTACTTGAACAGTCTCCTGCAGCTATTGGTGCTTTAGCCTCCATTTTTCCCATATATGTGCTTAAAATAAATAACACGATACCATTCTTGATCACATTTTGAAATTAGAATCTTTGTGCTTTTTTTCCATTTTTCTCACTTGCACTTGGAAGGAACTCTCCACTAAGACTTGCAAAAACTACTTGTATATCCTCCTTCAGTTTTTCTCCAATTTATTATTTGTCATGACATTTGTAGGATAATAATTTGTCATGTATAAGAGAGTTGGTGTGCTAAAATAATTACTTAGCATGCTGGATAGTGCTCTCAGATTGTTTCCTTGCACTCCATCGTTGGTCTGTGTAGATGTCTCTTTCTCTTATTCTGTGTTTACATCTATGACAGGGCTGTCTAGGTTTATCAAGTGTAGCTACTAAAACAGGTTTATAGCTATAACTCTTGATTATAAGGTTTTAATAAGACAAGTGAGTCTGTTACATGCTGAGAAATTCTTTCTCAGAGAAAAATTAAACTATAGTTGTATCTTATAGTAGACATTACAGCGTATGACCACAGAGCATAAGCCTCTTGACATTTTTGCCCTGATGAGAAACAGTATGCATTTTGGAGCAAGGATGTTAGTGGTTATGGTTAACCGATATACATACTTGAAGTGGGATCTGCTCATTAATATAACAACATTGCACTTGATTATTGGTCATACGATGGTGAAGAGGACATGGTAGTGTGTTATGGTGTTCCTTCTGGTGCATTGTCTTTGAGCATAAGATTGATCAGAAAACACACTACCCCTTTGCATCCCACATGTTTAGCAGAAATGATTAGCTAGCAAGTAGAATGGATTTTGGGAGGGTAACTTTGTCTTACTGTGCTGAAGCACTATCATAGTAACCAGCTAAATATTAAACTGAGCTGGGATAGTGTTGAATTTAGGAAGAAAATAATGTACACATTGGCTCTAATGTGTCTCCTGAAATTTTCAGCTTGTCTTTTCTGATCCTTTTTACTTTTTTTCAGGAGTACATCCTCAAAGGAGTGGTAAACGCAGCGCTTGGACAAGAAATGGGTTCGGTGAGTGAAGCCTGTGAGGTTCCTCCAACATTAGAATGTGAACAAATCTGTGGGGACTGTAATAGAATGAAAGAGGCAGTCATTTCTCATTTAGATTGCATGATCTCTGAGTCTCTTAATCTTTTTCCATACAGTACTTGGTCCACAATGAGTGAAATGCAAATCTCAGTTGCTAGTCCTGACAATAAATCAAGCTGAATTTGGCTTCTCTGTCCTGCTCCAAAAAGCCTGTTTGCTTTCTACAGTGTTCTTGTGTAGCTAGGCACATACAGTGGCACATTTACCTTTTCTGTTTCTCCTTCAGCTGTGATTTGCCTGTTAGTTGCTCCCTATCTGTTCCTCAGAGCATATTGTCACTGTGTATTGTATCATCAACTCTGGAATTCATGTTGGATTTTTTTTTTCCTCTCCCAGAGAGATCATCTGAAAATTGCTCAGCAGTTCTTCCAGTTGGTGGGTGAATCAGCCAGCGAATGTGGTATGTTTGAAATGTTCTCTCTCCATTATTTCATCCTTCATATGATATCCAAATATATATCATATCTCTGTCTAACTGCTGACTGTTAGCATGACTCTTGCTAGGCATTTTGTTGCTACAGGATGAGTAACAAAGTCTAATTTATAGTTGAAAACAAATTTGCAAGTTTAAATTAGAAGGCTCAATTGATTCCAAACCTTACTATATGAATTTGGCTGGAAAAGAGGCTATACTGCAAACTGCTAGTCTTCACTGGTAGACGCTATGGCTGCTTGCCTTTGACTAATAATGTCCATTATAGAAACAGAAGACAGCAGCCTAATTATATGAAGCGTGTGGCTGAAACCTCACAGGTACAGACACTCACAGGTACAAATCTAGGCCTGCTAATGAGAGCTTACTGACTGGGTAGAGTCCTAGCACAGAGTGTGCCCTAGAACTGAGGGTAATAAAAATGTAAAGAGGAATTTGGTTACAGGGAGAAGTGAGGGCTCTGGGAGTAACTCATTGGTTGAAAAAAAAAAAAAATATGATAAAGTGAAACCAAAAAATCAATATATTTTCAATATTCACTTATTCAATAAAAGACCAAAACAAGATTCTGTCTTCCCTTCCACTTGCCAAAGTAAAAACAAAAAATCCCCAATCTAAAAAGCCAGTAGTTGGAACACAGAAATTCAGCTGAAATGAGGCTTCCCAGTTTCCTTTGTAGGCATTCTCACTAGGAGTATTTCTTTAGATGAGTAACTTATGCATGTGTGCAGTGCAGACAGCTTATGGTCCTCAGAGACAGAATGCTGTCTCCTGTGTACATGGTGACTAAAGAGAAGGAGCTCAAGAGACACAGCAGCAGCACTGATGAAACTTTCAGAAATACTGTTGAGCCATTCCATTCCCTTTGCAGCCCTTGTGTTGAGATCATGCAGCAGAGCACTTCACATTGGAAGACTGGTTCCACAGATGAGGTTTCCCTAACACATTCCTTTTGCATTGAGGCTATCGCTTTGGAGTTAGGATGCCAGCTAACAGAAAGAAGCAATATGAACCGTAGTAGTGGAGGACTCGATTACTGAGCATATAGCTAACTGGGTTTGTGATGCCAGTAACGTCACAGGGTGACTGATACAATGGTGGTAAACCTCTTAATGCCCGTAACAGTCATGCAGGTGTGATGAGTGACCATAGCACATATGGGTAAAAATAATACAGAGATAGTATGAGAAAAGATATCCTGAAAAGATGTATGGTGAAGATAGAGCCGAAAACCGAAACTGAAATTGTTAGGAAGCTAAAAGTCTTAATTTTATTTTGAAATATTTTGAAACCCATATGCAAAACAAGATAGAGAGGTTCAGACTTGAGGTATGGTCGAGGAAAAAAATAAAGTGGGGGGGGAGGAACAGAAGTATAGTTCAATTAGGAAGGTGGGTTAATTGAGAAAAATGAGCCTATGAGAAGGACTGGTTCCAACTAAAGCTAAATGGAAGCATTTGTACTGCAAGCATCTTACACTCTTATGTGTAAAAACTGCTTTGTCATCTTTTTAAAAACTTGTGGGAGAAAGGTGACATACAGAAGAGCACAGTGTAACTCTTCCGTTAAAGATGAAATAATGTGAAGGTTTTTTGTATCCTCAGATGAAGGACAGGTAGAGGTCAACAAACTGTAGATAGGAAATAGAAAAAGCAAATGATTCAATTTAGAGAGGGCATAAAAAAAAGCAAACATATGAAGACCAAATATGTAAGTGTTTTTATACAAATATTAGATGTTCTACAAGAAGATGAATAAACTGGAACAAGTGGCTTTAGAAGAGGAAGCTGTAAACCTAAAATCATTTTTTTAATGTGATAGGAGGAAGGTAACATGTAAGATATTGTTCCTATTTAATTTACAATGGGGTATTACTAAATAGATGGTGCCAGTGGAGAAATGGTTCTAAACATTAAAGAAACCGTCTCTCAAAATAAAGTAAATATCTTTTCTGTATCAGTGAGTAACATAAAATTGTCTTAAATTACATGTTCAGATAGGCGTTTCATCGTATTGAGGCTAAATTATTCACCAGTCAGCCTGGATGGGAACAGTGACTGGCATATTAAAGAGGTTAGAGATTTTATATAGAAAGGTAATTAAATAATAGTTGGGGAATTCTATTCTGCCCCTATTGACCTAGTAAAGGCAATGACATGGCATGATATAGAGAATTAATTTTTAAATGCTAAGTTTTCATCTTTCTTAGAGAATATGCAAGCGAACTGGTGACTCTAGCCCAATACAGAGATTACATAGAACCTGACTTGAAATTTTACTATGAAAATCCAGTTCTGTTACAGTAGTCTGAGTATAGTCAAATTCCAAATCCATGTGTTAGCAAGTACCTTCAAAAAATTTCCACAGTATTAATTTCAAGAAGGAAAGCTACATAATAGCCTTTCTCATTTCTAACATAAATTTTTCAGTGAAGTAGCAGTGAAAAGGATAAAATGCACCTGATTTGAACACTTGAAAGAACCTTTTGTTTCTTTAAAGAAAGGGCTTGTACTCATAATGAGCTATAGGAGACAAATAGTGGCATGACGAGGTTTGCCAGTGGTACGAAATTACCCATGGTAGAAAAAATGAAAGCTTCCTCAATGATGAAAGCTGTGGAAGAATATATGAGGCTGGGTAATAATAGGCAAATTAAATTTAGCTTTGATAAATGCAAAGTAGTACATGGAAGAGGGGAGAACCCCCCAAACTGTATTTACAAAATTATCAGAAAAGGTGAAGAGAATCTTACGAATTGATGAGGAAAGAGAGAACAAAACAAAAAATAATTACTGTGTCATTGTATACAGATATAGCTCCCTTTCTTGAATACTGTCTGCAGTTCTGGTTCTTACCTTTAAAAAAAAATAATAGAACAATAAAGGGTACAATAAAGACAGCAAGAATCATCAGAGAAAAGGGATAGCTTCTTGAACAAGGAGAGATTAAATAAAGGGGTACACATGGCCTGGAAAATGTTTACTGACTTTGGTATTATGTTTGCAATACAGAACATCATAAATAACAAGGAGAAGAGGAATAGAGAAGAGTTAGTTACTATACCATACAAAAAGCAAGGAACATTGACATAAATCATCATGCATGACAAAACAAATAGCACAAATTACTTTTTTCATATAACACAATTTATTTGATTGAGAATCTTACAAGAACTGGAAGGTATAAGGAAATTTGTAGAAGAAAAGTCCACTGGCTGTTTAACACAAATTTTTTCAGTGATAATTAGGAAGTCCTCAGTGCAGGTTGTTGGAAGCTGGGAGAAACTTCAAAGGAAATGGCATTATATATTACATCATGTATTATGTGAAATCAGAATATATTCTTTCTACAGCTGTAAATTCTTACTCAGCAAGCTTCTGAATGAAACAGACTTTGGATCCAATATGGTCATTTTTATGTTCTTATGTAACGTAGCATATTAGCCACTCTTGTATATTTGTGGTCACTTTTGATTTGCTGCCTTTGTTTTGCTGAATTCAGAATGGAGAGAAGAATTCTTGCTGTTTGTATACTTGAGTTTTTGCTAAGTAGTCAGTTGTGCTATTCAATCATGTAAGTCACACTTCAACACTTCCCACTGGGCCAATCCTTGCAAGGAGCTAGTACCACTAGATTGTCTGTTTAAGATCTTTATCAAGTTACTCAGCTGCTTTGCAGATTTATAATACAAAATAATAGGTTATGCTTGCTAGAGTGAGGAAATCATATGCCGTGTCTTTGCTTGCAACTGGGCCTACAAGGCTCCTGATTTTAATGTAGATTATCAAAAATTATTGGATTAAAATGAAGATGTGGAATATTTTTTCAAAACAAGATCCTGTCTTTCTGACTTGTTAACTGTAGAAATCCTATGACTGCATTAAGAAAAAAGCAACAACAGGCAGTTTAGGAAGAATACAGTTTCATGTAATTTGGAGTCATCAGTTAAGCCCTTTGCTATTTTTAATTAGATCTCTGACTTGGAGGTTCAAGAAACATAGAGCAAACAGAGTTAATGTGAAAGTCCTTTCAAATACATGTACACATTTCATCTGTGTTGGAAGTTATGTACTTTAAGAGGAGTAGGGATGCCCAAAACAAACAAACAAAAAAAAACCAAACAACAACAACAAAAAAAAAAAAAAAAAAAAAAAAAAAAACAGGACGCACTTACAGTGTAGGAGTCAATATTCACCCTGTAGCAGCAATAAATAACACCCTGAACAGCAGCTTGTTTTACTGGGTTTTTTAAGAATAATACAAATTCTTAATCCCAACGACATGAAATGAAACTGGCATAACAAAGGAGGATATAACAAGATTTTTATAGTTAGTTCTCATGCTCTTCTCCCAGGGTCTCAACTGTGTGCAAAATTAAACAGATCAGATTTCTGAGATAAGTTAAGAGGAAATGGGGCAAGAGGAACATTAGTGAAATTAAATGAACATTAACATTTCTGTTAAATGCAGCGTTTCTAGTGATTAACGTAAGTCTTACAAACTACCCTAAGACCTCTGCAAGCATAATGGAGAAAAGCACCTCTTTCATTTTCAGTGGTCCTCTTTTAGGACAAAGTCAGGCATATCTGGTGTTGGGTGGGAGGAATGAAACATTTCTTCTGGACTTTGTGCAGTCTTTTCTTTGAGGTATTCTTAGGTCACCCTAAGTAACTTTTCAAAATGAGAACTTTTTTTCTTCCTGCATGAGTCACATGGGACGAATTAGAACTATAAAACTCTAATTTTTCTGTCACTAGTAGTATTCATTGCTGAGTTGTATGAGAATTACAGTTGTTTTACTTGTTTCTTTTTTTAAATAAATCTTTCACTAAAAGTATATGGAGCGTGGTATGCTGGGATAACAAAATTTTCTGCCAAAATGTGGACATAAGAATAAATACTGAAACATAGAAACTCTCCAATCATATATGGGAGAAGAAAAGTGTGGTTCTAATATTTTGTTCCTGTGATTCATTTTTACTGACAATGTATTCTCAGTTTTGCATGTTTGTTTGCATTTTTAAAATTTTGTTTAAAATAAATTGATGTGAGTTTATGAATTTCAAAAATTGAATTTAAGAGAAGAGGAGCACTTCCAAAGTACCTGAATTCTCATTACAACAAAAAAAAAAAAGAGCGGAGGAAAACTGGTTTTGTTATTGTCCTGTAAAGGCATATGAGTCATAAGTATGCCTGCATGTAAGAAAGGACAAATAAATATACAGGCCAGTTTCTGCTCCCAAGTGAACACTTAATAAATAACCAAATAATTTTCTTAAGTTGGAAGACTGAACGATGTGGTTCATAAATAAATAAGGATGGATTGTTTCTGCATGGAAATGACAGAACATTCAAGCTCAGTATCTCCTAGTGCTGAAAGATAAAAAATGAGAATATTCTGCTTTTCTTTGAAATATATTTTGAGATCTTAGTAGTGCTTTCCAGGAATAATTATTACCCTACACCTTTAAAGGAGAATGAACAATTTTTCAGTGGAATGCTGTATTTTTTGCTGTGGTATGGAGTCAAAATATTGGTCTTCAGATACATGAAATTTCTATATACAGAAAAGATATTTTAATTTTCTAGTGTGGATGGATTACTTGTAACTAACCTATAGGAGCAGATTCCTTCGAGGCTGTTGGCAGCCTTAGGATGTTATCTCCTGTCACCTTACCAAACTGCACAGAGCAGCATTCTCCCTAAAGATCATTTGACACAGTGAAATAGTAGTGATTTGACATCATTTCCGTTTATGCCTTCCAAGCTGCTACTTCATCCATCTCTGGCCAATCTCTGCTGGCTGAGTCTAACAAAAGCTACTCCTAGGAAGCTTACTTCAGAATCTCCAAAAAAGCTTTGACATAATTTTTCAGTAACACAGCTTTCAATTTCAGAGTAGATGATAACATAGTATGATGGCAGCAAAGTTTATGATTACATAAATGGCAGTAAAGTTTACTGACACTCATTTGAAATGATATGCCTGATTTATTTATGGCTTTACCACTTGTGAGCATTGTGGAAATCTCAAATGAATGGAAATTAATTTTCATATTGTATTTTATCATTGAGTATTTTTCCTGTGCATGTATTAATATTTTTTTTTAAATAACAGTATTTTCAGTGTATCAAGTTTACTCTCTTACTGGAACTAAAATTAAAATATGTAGAGCTTCTTTGTCCAGGATAACTGAAAAGCATACTTTTAAAGAAAAAACGCTAATGAAGTTAGAATAACAAACTCGAGCTTTGTATCAAGTGTAATTTCCTGAGAGTAAGAATAATTCATGGTAAAATTATGCTACATAAATTGTGTCGTGGAAAAGGCCTGTTACTTAAACAATTTGTCTCTGTAGAATTTGCTGCTGAATAGTCTTGCAATAGTTATTGCATGCTTTGAAGAAAGTTGACAGGATGATCTAATAGTTTTTCTAATCTCTAGTATGGTCCTTTGCCTGAAAAGGCAAGTTACACTATTTTTAGAAGTTAGCTGCTTCGTAGTTGCCAGCAATCTTGGCAGTAATTTCCTTTACCATGTGATTTTTAAATTCTACAAATCTGCGTTTATCTTTTGAATTTTAGATACCATTCCAGGGAGACAGTGCATGTCCTCCTGCTTCTTTCTTCTTAGACAGTTTGGTAATGTCCTGATTTACCTCAACTCAGTCAAGGTTAGTATTGTTATTTAGTATTGGTAGTATTCTAATGCATGGAATCACTACTGATGGAATTAGACTGTACTGTGTGAGACACTGTGTAAGCGTAAAAAGATACAGAAACACAACAGTAATGACAAAACACAGGAACAACAGTGGGACATAAGTGGTCAGTACAGCAAATGGATCAAAATGCAAAGAAGTGCTTTGTAAGATAGCATTGTGCAGCCTGGTGAGCATGATGGTCTCATCACACAATTTAACCATTATCAGGCTTTCTGGTAGCATCACAGAAGGTGAGGAAGATAATTAAAGAAAGACAATGAAAAAATTTGTGGATATTTACAGGGTGGGCAGCATGGAAGAAAAAACCCAAATGTTTTCTTAAGTCTTATCAAATGATGGAGATTACTGTCACTGGTTAATAACTATGGACAACATTTTAATGAACAAGAGTGTGTAAGGAAGGTAGGACATGAAAGACTCCGAAAGTTATATTTTACGGGGAAAGCAGTCACTGAAGGGCTAAGATAGGGCAGTATTACCAAATCAGTAAGCTAAGAATATTATTTTTGCAGAAGTAATCTGAGTTGTACCCTGCAGCCAATGTTGCATTTTTCAGTTTGCAGTTATAATGCAGCATTATCAGACTGCCAGAATTCAATGGATAAAATGGGTATAACTTAGATATCCAGTTAGAAGTCAGATGTGAGGAAAAAGAGAGAGGCTGGAGTGTGATTATAGAGTTAAGTGATTACAGTCTTGTTCCAGTAATTTGAAACTAGAGTTCTAAGAGCTCTATATTTGGTAGGAAGAGGAATGAGAATCTGAAAAGAAATTATTAGGGAGATACCCAAGATGAACATAATTACAATGTTCTAAGGAGGGTGAGATCTAAAGAAAAACATGCGGTTGTAATGGTGCCAAAAGCAGCTGATGGGTGAAAAATGATGAAGGTGTAATGTTTTCAAACTTTGTCTGGAAAAGGGTCATTGAAGAAATCCCAGGTGTCTGTAGCCACTGGAATGGCTCCACTGTAGTGGAATGAAGAGATACCCAACCACAACACCTCCCCCCAAATCGGAGCGTGCGTGTAATTGAAGAAACAGATAGCTGGAAACTAACAGTGAGATTTGGTTTGCCTAACCTGAGCCATCTAAAAGACAGAGTTCTCTTTATAAGTGATCATCTGGTGTCAGTCTACAGCTAATGGGGGCAGATGGTAACTTCCAGAGTAGAATTCATCCTGTGTATTTCATACACTTATCTTCAAATGGAAACAGTCACCCCACAGCAATGCCCAGTTCTTTCCATTTCCTTTGAAAAGTTCTTAAACAACTAGTTCTAACCTGAAAAGGTTAAAGTTAAATGCAATTACCACCACCCCCAAGGTATATGGAAAAGCTTGGAATTGAGAGAGAGAGTAGTATGTGGGGAGGCAAATGGAGTTGTCCTTAATATTGGAAAGTAAGACTAGTGTTTGTAAATGAATGAGCCAGAAACATACAAGACACTAAACAGAAATTAAGAGGGTGAAAGTGGGCAATAGAGTGATCAAAAGATAGGTCAGAGTCATGAGGCAAGAGAAGTGCCACAGGGAGGGGATTAGGTGAGACAGTTGTGCATCTGTGAGTGTATAAAGGGAAGTGTTGTAGGAAGGGTTGGAAAGAAAATCTGAAGGGAAAAGGAAGAGCACAGAACACTCAGTGTTATTTTGTAAGATGCTAGTAAGAGCCCATGCAGAGGGAAATATAGGTAAGAAATAGATCTAATGTTTAATAACTCTCATGAGGAAGGCAGAAATAGTGACAGATCCAGGTATGCAAGCCTTCAATCCTGCTATATTGATCAACTAGAAGAAGGAACATTCTTACCTTGTCAGATATGGGAGAAACTATTTTATTATGTGTGCATAGGAGAGGGGAAGGGTTATCTGATTGCTTCTCTGGGTATTTTGTTCTGTTTTAAAAGCTTAGCTGTTTTGCTGAAAGTATGTAGAACTGTAGCCACACATTATAACATATATATGTGGATTTCAGCTTGGAAGCTGGACTTGACCACATATACACGCCTTTGGCATCAGTAACCATATATCTGTTTCGATTTGACCCCATATTTAGACAAAGATAATACATTTTTTTTAAATTATTCCCTTAGTTTTCACAGTTATAATGTGAATCTATTTATAAAAATGAAACAAAATATTAAGCTAAGTAAAGAATATTCAATATAAGAAAAGATTGATGCCTTTCATTGCACAGTGATGTACTCCTATTTGAAGTACTAGCCACTACCCCCTCAAATGCAGAAAGAAAGGTGATTCAGAGAATAATTGGAAATTGAAATATTGTCTTAAGGGATTTAGAAGACGGGGGGGAGGGTTTGCTATAGATGGAAGTTAAGAAAATAAAATTATACAAAATGAGAATTAGAATAAGCAATGTAGATTTGAGACCCCTGTTTGTATTAGGAGAGGCTTGAAAACAAGATAAAACTTGCTAGAATTGCAGCAAATCCACAATGTCTTTTCTAAGAAAATGCATTTTGTCCTTCAAAGCATAGTTGGTTTATGGAACTCATTGTCATAGTTCAAGGTAGAGTTGAGGTTGCAAGTTTGGAAGGTTTTATAGATTGTATCTAGCAAGTTGCAAAATGATCAAGCTGAAGTAAAATATGTATTTGTTACATTCTCAAAGGCAATCATAAATGCTTATAATTTGAGACATAACGCCATTGATAAATAGCAAAGACTAAGGACAAAAGTTTTCTTCCTACTACCACTTCCCTCGCATGGTCCTTTTGAAGTAGTTGATCATTCTCATAATTTTTTAGCTGAGACTGGCCACTGCTCAGATTTACTTAGGTCATTCCCCTTCTCTTTAGGTCACAGGAATGCAAGTAATTCTTCCTGTGCCATGTTACAGGCAAGTTTTAGGTGGCTTCACAGTCACCTTTGTGTTTCATTCACAGGAATAAACTTCAGTAAAATCTCTGCAGCTCTTTAAGTGGAGCTGTGCACTGTATGAAGACTGTTTGCATGATATTCTCTCAGGAAACACCACCTTCATCCATGATTGATTGAAACTGCTTTAGGCATGATAATGTCTCAAAGGACACCTTATTATAAATGTATTGCCAGCTGCCCTGAAGGTGACATTATAACATTGAGAATCATCTGAGAAGACAAGCTAATTCAGGCTCTGCTGAATTCTGGCCACAACGAATGCTTCATTGTTCTACTGAGTATCTGAGCATCTCATTGAAATGGACATCGCTCAGAGCACAGTTAGTTTTATGAAAAGATTGAAGGCCACTGAAAAGACCACAAGAGTGAAGTCCAGTATATATAATATGGTGGTGATTTTTTTTTTTTTTAAAAAAAAAAAAAAAAAAAGAGGAAGAGAGAGAAACAAAACATGTAGCTCCTGTGAATGTGTTGCACTATCAGCAGCACTGGTTCATTTCTACTGGTTTTGTTTTTGTAGCAGCTGTGGTCTCTATGGTCTCTAGCACTAATGCAGCCAGGATAGAATGACACAGTTTTTTGAGTTTGGTTACTGACAGAGTTTATTTTCTGTTTTAATTCAAAAATACAATGTGGGCTATTTGAACAGGAGACACTATAAATGCAGTAAAACTAGCATCTTGCTCACCAGCTTTGCTTAACCTGGGACTTGTGCTGATTCACACGAAACTATCATTGAGGAAGAATACAGTAAAGTGTTGTAATTCTCATATGGTGAAACCAGTTAGTTCACCCTAAGGCTACTGAAATGTTTTAACAAACTGAGCTTAAGAGTCATCCTGTTGGTTTGTCCTTATGCTTACACACAGCTTGCTATATTTGCTGCCTTTGCGACCCTAATATAGATTATTTGGGTGAAAGCTAAACATCCAACAACTGATGGCAACCCACCCACCTCTTCTCAAGGCACTAGCTTGATGTATGTGGGTAGACTGGATCGGTGTCCTTTGTTGACTGCCTGTGACAGGGAAGGGAGGAGGTCTTTCAAGTGTTCCTACATCACGAAAGATACTGGAACACTAGGAAGGAGGTTCGCCCCTTGCTTCCCATGTCTTTTGTGCAGTCCCAACTATGCTTTTTACCTCTTCCTCACTCCTTAATGAGGGAACAAACCAGAAGTTTGATCCTCCTACACGAGTTCTGTTTCTTTTATAGATGTTATATAAGGAAAAACATTTCTTCTTCCATACACCTTGCTGTTATGCACCCAAGAAGGCTTTTCATACTAACTATAGTGGATAACCCACCCTGTTTGGTTCCCTTGCTCTTTCATAAGCACTGTACCCCTCCTCAGCAGGGATCCTTGATCCCATCCACGCTTGTAGCTGTAGTATTGTGTTCCACCTTACCTCTACCAGGTCTACCAGTGTAGCAGCATGGGACAATGCTGAGTGTAGAACACACTCAGCTGAGTTTTGGTCATCTGAGTTATACTTCAGTCTGGACATCTGACCATGATCAAATATAACCTATTTGGGTCAAACCCAAACATCAGGCTAACCTGTACCTAGAGTTATATTTCCTGCTTTGGCCTATGCAGCTTTTCATAAAAGATACAACCAAATCAACCTTATCTGTCATTAACCAGATGCGTCCGGTCTAATATTATGAGAGAGAAAAACTTAGTGTTGCACTGCAGGTAGAGAGAAGGGTGCCTGTAAGCAAGGCTTCATCTTAAGGAAGTCCTGTTACACCGTGTGCTGCCTGACTGCAGCTCAGCACTTCAGCTCCACCTCCATCATGTGATCCAGTGTGTCAGACTAGCATCTGTCACATAACCAGATCCACAGGATCTCTTACTGAACCTTGAGAAGTCTTGGAAAAACAAACTGTTCATCTCCTTAAGCCATGAGGGAGTCAACTGCCTATTTACCATCCTAGTGGTGAAATAAGTGCTTGGGAGGTAAGAGACCATGGCAGCACAGCGTGTCTTCACATGCCTAAAGTGAAAATTATATCCATAAGAGCTGCTACTGCAATTTTGAGCTTGGAGCATTCTCCAGATCTCTCATGGTTAATACTGTGGAATGTTCCAGCTGTGTTTGTAGTCACAAATGTAGGATGGAAAGCCAGTCCATAATTTTCTACCCACCGTTTATAAATGCCGTATGTTCATAATGTGGGTTTTTCTTTTTCCTTCCTGTTGTCTTGATATAGTTTGACTCAGGTTGGGGGTGGATGTGTGGTGTGGATATTTTAAATGTTATTATACCATGGGAGGAGCGGGGGGTTGTTTTATTTATTTGGGGTTTGTGTGTGTCTCTTATTTTCCAGAGTTACTTCTACAACGATGATACTTTTAACTTCAACTACGCCCAAGCCAAAGCTGCCATGGGCAATTTTAGTGAGGCTGAAGAGGTATGTATTTACTTTCTTCAAAAAACAACAATGGAAACATTTCCCACGTATTCCCCCCCTTCCTTTTTTCCCTCCAGATCTTCGTGTTGGTTGAAAATAAGCATGTTGTGTGGAACATCATCTTCCCCTTCTTAGAGGAACTGAAACTCTCAGTGAACACTATTCAGAAAACATTATCTTGCTGATCTTGTAATGTGAGGTATATAGGGATGATGCTCTTTGTGGTGCATCACAAGTGCTTGCAGCTATCTCTAATTGATCAAAGAATGCCCTCTTAATCAGATTTCCTATGCTCTGTCTGGGATCCCAGGCCATCTTATTGTTCAAACTGACTAGGGCATGCTGAGTAAAAGGCACTGAATAGTTAAGAGCTTCTAGGTGTCCCTAGAAATTTGTGTTTAAAAAAAAATAAAATTCTTCCTTTGGGAGATGTGGGAGGAAAAGAGGAAGTGCTCACTATCTTATTCAGCAGCATCCAGATGCAGCTGGAAGATATTAACTTCTACATGCAGCATTTTTTGTGTCTATGTGCAGTAGAAATTTAATTACAACTAAAATATGCAAAAGCAAATAGCTATTATGAAGATGGAAGCAACGTTTTCCACAAGACCGGAAAGAAGACAAGCCAGGAAAAAAAAAACAACTACATAACTTAGTGAATCATATAAGTTTGATTGGTTTGGGTTATTTTTTGTTTTTCCTGTCTATCTTTTTAACTCTTCAGGTTTCTCAACAACAGAGCCCCACTGGCTTTTTATTTTGTTTTTTTGGGGGGTGTTTTCGTTTGGTTTGGGTTTTTTTCCCCTCAGAACCCACCCCCTTAATTTCTGTGACCTGAAATTGTATGTCTCTCTAAGAAAAATATGCAAGACTGTCAGTCAAAATGGATATATATTTCAATTCATCTACCTTAACTTAATTAGTTTAATAAAAATGTAGGTATCTTTAAAAATTATGTTATCAGGCTACACTGATTCCCGAGACTTCATAAAAATGATAATGCTGTAAGTAAGCTTCAGCTGCAGTCAGGCAACAAAGAAACACCAAGATGTAAACTGCTATTAATCCACATTTTTCCTCTTATGTTCTTACAAACTATTCTATATAAGCTTGTGTTATATAGCTGATGCATTTAAATAACAGAATTATGTAATTAAATTGATTAGTCTGGCCTAATGTCTGATCTTTGATTCTGATGACACTTTCATATAAAGATCACCCTTCCCCAGTGTCTCATGAACTTGTAAAATATCTCCACATATAGCACTTATTAAGTTATTTAAAAGCTTACTTCCCTGGACAAAATGAAATAGAACCTATGATAAACTGCTGCTTACAGTGATAATGCTGCTTTATTTCTTTCCTCTCACCCCTTCCCCTACCCCCCAAAATTAGGAGATGAGCAGTGTTTAACCAATAAAAATGTCAGTAACTTGTGGAACTCACTGTTCCAGTACGTACATCTGCTCCTATAAAGGTATTTTGAGTTTTGCCAGTAGCATCCTAGTATAGTTACAAATATACCTGCAGAGAGGCATAAATGGCTTTTTTCTATGAGCAAAGCCAGAGTACTTTTTTAAAATGTATAACTTCCCTCCTGCGCATTCTTTTACACATAGGATGAAATAAACCTGTATTTGTACAGGAAGTTACAAAAGACAAATGTTTTGCCTCAGAACCTTACTGAAACCAAAATGGTTAGAAATGGCTTATTGCTGACCTGGGATGATCTCTGACATGTATGGGGAGGAAAGGCTCATATAAATGTGAAACTTCTGGTATTTCAAGAAGATGCTAATGTAATTGCTTGCATTGCTTGCTAAACAAACACATTCCAAATAGCTTTTCCCACAGGCCCAGCGTTCCTTTGTGCTGTTTGTGTTGCAGGGCCGCCCACTGGCACTTGTTCAGAGCAGGCCGCACCCTCTGCACAGCTTGGTGTTTTGAAGCTGCAGAAGTCCCTTGATAAGCATGGCACTGTTTGTATCCTCCACCTACCAGACACAGAGAGATGCCCCTACACCCACTGCCATACCCCAACTCTTCTTGCTTATGTGGCTTAAGCCTTAGCTGCATGTTGAAACGAGGCAGGTCTGCCTTCTGTTTGTTTAAAAGTACATGCATGTATAATCTTTCGTTTTCCTTCTTCCTGCAGGTGTTCCTTTTGATCCAGAGTGAGAAGATAAAGAATGATTTTGTTTACCTTAGCTGGCTAGCTCGCTGCTGTGAGTCACTTTACTCTCAACATTGCAGAATACAGATCCTCCTCTATTGCATCAATCTTGGCAATCCACTTCCCTCATTGAATTTAATGTTGTAGGTGGATTCGGGACTATGAAAGTGAAAAGCTGATTGCACTAGCTGTAGCGTGGGTGATTATTGCACCTTTCATACATCTGGCTTTAGTAAGCAATTACTCTTTCAGTGCAATGCTGTTACGGTTCCATCAATGCAGCTTTGTCTAAACCAGTGAATGTTTTTCTTCTCAACTGTATACTCAGTTGCTTGAGTGAATATTTTCTGTCTTAAAAGACTGAGTTACAACTCTAAAATGTTCAGAATAAAACACAAAATAGAAGCACCCATACTGGGTCAGGCCCAAGGGTCTGTCTACCTCTAGGAGTAGCCAATGTCAGATGTTTAGGGAAGAGAAGAATCAAGCAAGCATACACAGCAAGCATTTTTCTTCTTACTACATTACTCTTCGTGTTGTCTAAATTTCTGTGCCTGAGGGATGTCCTTTATAATCTCCGGCCTGTTTTTTCTTTCAAAAACTTTTCCAGTCTTTCCTTGAATCCAGAAAACTATTGCTATGTTTAATATCCTATAGCAAATTTTATTTAGTTTCTCTGAACGAGTTTTGAAAACATTGTAGAGTATAATCTCAGTAGATATGGCTACAGTGCCACATGTAAAATAGTATAGAGGTGTGCTTTTCCAGTGACTCCAGTCTGAGACTCCCTAGGTTAATTTGTTTTCCTTACAGTGCCTCTATACAAAAATGCTGTCTCATCAAACAATTTCCAGTGATTGTACTTGGAATGTAAATATGTATGTTTTGGGACATTATGCCATATCACAGATGTGGTCAACATCTCTCAGGTGATCTTTCCAGACAGGCACATCACACCTATGTATCCCTATCTACGACTCTATTTTAGAAAATGCCAGTTTATTTCCTTTTTCATTAAACTGCAGTACCTGGTTGCGTCTGAATGTTTTATATGTGAATGTTTAATGTGAATTTTTCTGATGGGAGAACTCCCATTGCAAAGGGAATTCATGGTTGTTTAGTAACAGTGTTCATCCCTTTGATTCTGTGCTATACTAGTTCTTTGACATGTATCTGGGGATGCAGAACTCTTTGAAAGTGCTACCTATTATATAAGAAGTAGAATTAACACCATGTTATCAATTAAAATTTTTTAGCTCTTTCACAGGAGTTGCTATTTGTTCTTGAGTGAGTCTTTTGCCATTCTGAATTCCTGCTGAAGTTTCAGTAGAGCTCCTGTATTCTTCTGTGTCTGTCTTAAAATTTTGATTTTTCATTCCCAAAACAGCTGCTATAATTCTTTGCAGAAACAACTGCTCAGTGATGAATATCGTTATCTTTTTGTGTCAAGTATGTAAATTACTATTAGATCCGTCTGGATAAAAGCTGCTATAGAAATTACAAAGCATTATAATACATTCATGTCAGAGTTTGATTAGGTATTGAGTTGTAAACAATTCAATGCTGAAATATTTCTAAGGGGCAGAAAGTACTAGAGATGCATCTTTTTTTGGATGCTAGACAGTATTTTTTTTGTTTGTTTAGTATTATTTTACTATTTATATCATATTCTTCTTGAAGAGAAGGTAAAAAAACATTGAATTAGAACATTACTCCATTTTTCTAGATAGATGGGTTGGTATTTGGAAATTAAGACCTGGCTGTTTGCCACCATGTATGGTATCTGGAGCTGCTGAAAGAAAAGTCTGATTTGACATCTTGCTGCCTCCTGAATGAGACGTGTCTATAAATGCTGTGATTTGGTGTTACATGTTAATTGTTGATGACTGACACCCATTCTACCTGCAACATATGTATTGGCACAGTGGGCACAGATATACAGTCCCTTTTTTGAAAGAGCATGAGAGTGGTCCATGTGTGAACAGGCAGCTACTCTGTGAGTAGCTGATAAGACTTGAATAAGAAAGGAACACTTAATTTCATTTTCTTTTCTCCCAATACTTGAATGAGTCTGGAATTACCAATATCAATCTCGGATTCAACAGAACAGGTTCTTATCTTTAGAAAACAAAATTTTAGAACTCTTGTGTTCAAACACCCTACTGGACTTTCCACTATCTGAGATGGAAGATTCAGATTCTTTTATTTCTGATTGTGTAAAGCTATATAGTCAAATTCTAGTCATATAGGCAAATTTAAAACCAGCACAAAAATCTCAGGAGTTTGGAAACATTTTTTTTCTAGTAGATGCATAATGACAAGGGGTTTTTTATGCTTGGAGGGGCTTCACCCCCTCACCTCCCTCTCCCAGCACACCTTTTGGTTTGTTATGAATCATGGGAATTGAATGTTTAGATTGAGGTGGGCACCAAGTATTAAAGATCTCAGTTCAGTGCCAATTAAAATTTTTCTGTAGTCTCACCATCAGAATGGATTGCCACAGTTCATTGTCCTGCATAAAATAACTTCTAATTCTTTCCATTCTGTTCCTCGATCACATCTGAAATCATGAGAGTTGTGCTTACTGCTGTATTTGTGAAATATAAATTGCGATGTAAACACCATAATTATTTCTCTTAGTGTTGGTATTCTCTGATAAATTGGCTGTTATTGCTAGTAACGCAGAAGATAAGGACAAGTTTCCCTTCCCAACCTCATGCTCACAGGGCAAGGCATGCATTTACATTAAGTAAAGAAATTTAGGAACATTTATTCCACCTGCCACTGAGTATTATGCATGGCATATCTTTTTGCAAACCTAGCTTTTTGTTGTTATTGCAGATATTATGAATAAGAAACCACAGTTGGCCTGGAAGCTCTATCTGAAGATGGAAACCTCAGGGGAGTCCTTTAACCTATTGCAGCTCATTGCAAATGATTGCTACAAAGTGAGTCTTCTCTTTAGAACTTGGTGTATGGCATATGAATTCGGTGATTATACCAACAGTCATTTTTTGGATACTTTCCATAATTGTCAACACTAGTGAACTTTCTTTTATAACCATGGGATGTCTAATAATGTAGATGGGTTGGCAAGGATTAGTCAGTATTTTAACCTACAAGCCTTCTTGCTAGACAACCCACTGATTAAAACGTTGATAAATTACTGCATGGTTGAGCTATCAATAGCAATAACAGTTTCTTCTACTAGGGGTTCATTGTTGGTAGAAATGACAAGAAACTTTTAAGAAAAAAAAAATCTAGCATATATTCAGCAAGGAGCCTCATGCTGTATTTTTTTTCTGGAACAGTGTTATTTTCTCTTTAAAGCTTGTAATGGCAATGGGTTATACTCCTTTGTTAATCACAAGGAAATGGAAATAGAATTCCCACAACTGCTATTCTATCTGCCCAAGGAGGGCAAAGAGACACGGGGTGTGTATAGTCATTAGGAATAAAACTACCCAGAAAAAATGGTGAGCTTAACTGCCTACAGCAGGATCCCTGCTAACACATAATAGTTATTCTTTTGAACCTTTTCTAGAGGGGACTTTTAAAGAGATGAGGTTAGACTAAGCTGTCTAATATTTTTAAAAGTCAAACCAGACAAGACAATGTCCGCTTTAGTAGGAATGCTGTGGGCATTTAGAACAAGTTAAAATATATGCTACCTTACTTGTACTAAGCTTCTAGATTGTGTTTGCTAGTTCTGATGCACCGTGCTAATGCACTGCTGGCACACCTCCAAATTCTAGTTCATACAAAGCTATGTTATTAGTGAAGAGATCTTGGGAAGCTGATTACAATTCTACCTAAACACCTAACATCCGGTTCTTCGGATGGTGTCTACACACAGGGAGACTTAGCTTTGATTCAAGATTTTTTGCTGTTCTGGAAAGCATGGTGAGGAAACACGAGAGCTTCATCCACAGGATGGATGTAGAGGCATATAAAATAACGTGTTTGAGAGGATTGTAAATGGTGCTATAAGCGAAATAAAAATTGGTTATTCTATGCAGAGTACTACTGTGCAAGATTCCAGTAGACAATAATAGGATGCTGTATCCGACATCCTCTCTGACAGCTACAAGGATGAATGCACTGTGTTGGAACCTAGATGAGGAGCAGCTCGGTGATAGGAGAAAATGATGGTCTTTGGCAAAGTGGCATGGTGAGACATAGGCCATCCACTTTTCAGAATGTATTGACCAGAGCCAGAAGGTGGACTGAAGTTATTTGGGCAGCAACCGTTTTAGGTTTAATTTAAATTAAATCTGTAATATAAATACAGATTGTAATTTTGTGATTGTGCAAATATAGTAGTTCACTGTTTTAAGAGAGCAGATGTGAGAAGAGCAGAACACAGATAATAGGTGTAAAGCTCATGGAGCTGGTTCAGTAGAGCCTAATGCAAGTGAATACACAAGACCTAGCAGCTATTAGCATAGGCTTATTACAGTGACCAGACTTGCCATTATAGAGGAAATCTAGTAAACTGGGTCCTGTTGGAAAACCTCCCAATGATTCTCAGATCAGCCAACCTCTCCAAAGAGCAGCAATATCCGCATACCATCTGTAACATTCTTTTTTGGTTTTTTTCCTTCATCTGACAAAGTAATGTGTTCTCAAAATCCTAACAAACACATAACTGAAAATCAGAAAATTCCTTGTGAACCCAAAAGCATTCTTCTAAAACTCAGTGAATTATCACTTGCACATCTTTCAACTATTCAATCCACCATCTCACCCTAAAAGTCTTGTTGCTCAAGCAGGTAGCTATGCCTCTGGTGTTTCCCGTAGCTGCAGTTTGTGAAACCAAGTTGACAATCAGACCTTATGTAAAATCTTTTTCTAGGCCATTTTAAGTCTCACTTAAATCAGTTGTTTGCTTTGCCTAAATTCTTCTCAAAACCTTATTGTACTCTACATGAGAAGCGGCTCCACAGTTTGGAGTTATCTAGAGCTCTTAAAAACTGCACTTACAGGACTAAATTTTTCAGCCTAATTATGTGTGTACATATGGCCATAAATGACTGCTCCAAAGACCAAGAAATTTAATTTAAAAAAATATTACTGCAGTATTATAACTTGTGTTTCTACACTACCAGCTGTTTGTACCTCTTCCACTAAATGGCAAGACTCATGTTGTTTGAGTTTATGTAGCATTTTCCAGTTGTTTCTGAAACATTATACTATATTAGAGCTCCACAGATGGCACCATAGCTGTAACCTACGAAGGCAGTTGTACTAGGCTTCATTCAACAGATTGCTGAATGAACATGGGTGGAGCAAGGTCAACAGCGTCCTGAGACTAGATGTGGCTGGATGCCCCGTTGCTATGATGATAGAAGTTTTTCAGAAAGGAAGCTGGGATGCAGCACTCCTGGCTAATTTCTTGCTGTTTTTCATGCAATATCCCATCTTATCCATATAGGGAACAGCACACGTCATCAGGCGAAGCGTTTCCTGCTTTTATGTCAGATGGAAGGAGGACATTAAAGCAGTATCTGCTTAATGGAACTACATCAGATGCCAGTTTGGAGAGATCAGTATTCATTTTTTTCTTTTTAGCTGACACGTCCGATAGTTAGTACTCACTAAATTTATTCCCATCCATTTAAGTGCTTGCCAGTCACCTGTGGCTAAAAATCACTATTTATGGGAAGAAAGGGGAATTACTACTCATTCTGTAATGCCTGTGTTTCTCTGACTAAAGTTTCCAAATGTAACTGCTACAGCCTGTCCTTTTTTCTCAGCAGATGCAGGCTTCCAGCTACCAAAGGATGGGAGGTTGTGCTCAGTCTACCTTCTGTGCTCTCTCATGGGAAGATGCTAGCCACAAATAACATTGCTATTCAGGCTTGCCCAAATGAAGAACACTCACAGTCATAGATAAGGTCCACATGAATTATGCTTACTTCAAAAGCCACAGTTACTGTGGTCACTCCTATTGCACTGACTGTTGCCAACCACCTTGCTTCTTGTTCCCATTTACAAGTAAAGAACCTAGGACAGAAAATAGGTACACAGTGGATTTTCCTATGCTCAGGAAAATTGGATTATAGAGTCATTGAATCTTATTTTGTTCTGTACTGTAACAGTGAAGAAAAAAAATTAGCTCTAAGTTAAACCCAAAAGACATCCAAATATGTCTCTGGGACCATCTCTACGTGAGGAAAAGCGGTTCTGTTTTCAAATGTTTAGACTAGTTTGAAGTTGATATTCTATCAAGAACTGTGGTACAGTTGGTATGACACTAGATAGGATGCCTCATAAAAAGAAGTTCCGTAAGCTAGTGTTACCTGTACGTGCTCAGAATAACAGTGCTGATCGTTGCCTACTAATAAAGTTCACAATGCAGTTTGTCTATAATATGTTCAGTGATATAGACCAGTAATGTTTTATTACCACCTGTTTCCCCACATAGAACTGAAATCTGCCTGTTCTGTGTCACTTGCTGCCTGCAGAAAAACAGGAAAATGCACGTTGCTCCTAGGACTTACTGCTGATTTAAGAAAACAGAGCTCAAAAATTTTAACCCCCTTCTGAAAGATGGCCATATAGTCAGGAATAATGTTTCACTTTCTGTGCAGATGCGTCAATTCTACTATTCAGCCAAAGCGTTTGATGTTCTGGAGAGACTAGACAGTAATCCTGAATACTGGGAAGGCAAGAGAGGTGCTTGTGTGGGTGTCTTTCAAATGATCTTAGCTGGACGAGAAGCAAAGTGAGTATTCTGTATTGTATCTGAATTTGGTTTGCTCTTTTTCTATTTCCAGTTGGCTATATGGCAGAACCATAATCTTAGCTTTAGGACTAAGTATCCTCTTGCAATTCTTTATTGACCTTTCAGAAAATAGATACTCTAGCCAGTGGTTCCCTATGCAGTGTTCAATTTGAAGTGTATCTTCCACACCAACAGTTGTAGAATATATGGTGGAGAATGACTTTATCAGTGAATGCTATGAGCTGAAGGAAACCAAAATACATTAGTCATTACACTAGGAAGAGCTAAGTTATAAACTTAGTATGTTCATGAACTGAAGGAAAAGAACCTCATTTCATGTTGATGGCATAAGAATGGAAAACTGTCCCATGACATTTTAAGGTTCATAGAACACAACTAAGGAAACATTTACTCAGTGCTGTAGGAAGGACAGTTTCTCTAAACAATGAGTAGATGAGACTGTGTTTTCACTAAAATTTGCTTTCTGAAGACACTGTCCATGTCAGACAGATATACTTGATGAAAGCTTAAAGGAAATTATCTGCGTTACTGACAATTTTGCTTTCGTCCCATTTCACTGGATGGGAGAATGAGAGTGAGTAGTGAGGCTGTATTTAAGAACTGTTCCCTCGTGAATATTCAGCTGTGATGCCAGATGGCCATTCTCCCCTGGCCAGAGTTGCTGTTTTGTACATGACTGGTAGGTGTGTATATTGGCTTCTTCACCTTCCTTGTATTCCCTTCTCTGCTGGAATAATCTCATTAACTACTGCACCCTTCAAGTGTCCTTTTAGCAATTACTGTAGTAAATGCAGTAAGATAGACCTAGCTTCCCTGTTTTTCAATATGCATACAAGTTCTTGCTGTAAAGTAGCTGTCAAACTGCAGCTTCATACTGGTTTATCCTGGTAATGTTCATTTCCATCTTATCTGTATTTATGTGTAAGGTGCTTTGGCAGTATTAAGCTAGGTGCCATACTGAAGACTAGCAAGTAGCATTAAAGACAAAAGCAAAAAAAAATGCTTTGTTCTGGGGGACTGTTTTGCAAGAGTAAGGGTTTATATATAAATACACACACGTGTGCACACTAAACTCCAAACTAATAACATGTTGCTGATTTTTTTTTCTTTTTAAAATTTCTCTCATTGTTGCAATTGTATGTAAGACCTTTTTTCCTTTGTGCATGTGTCCTGGATTCTCATCTAATGTGAATTTCTACCTGTTCCTGCTCTGCAGATGAATGGATCTCTCTGTCTAGGAATCATGTTTTGCAAAAGTGTTTGGATGCAGGTAGTTGGTTATTGTATAAGCTGGGTCTTACCCTCCTTTAAATCTTTGCTTTTCACCTTTGTAGAGAGACTCTACGGGAAGTACTGCATCTTCTGAAGAGCACTGGTAACTCTCAAGTAGAATACATTGTCCGCATCATGAAAAAGTGGGCGAAAGAGAACAGAGTCCCTGTTTAAGTCAGTGCGACAAAATGGTAGTAACCGGGTTGGTTACTACTCTGTGTGTAGCTATAAGATGTAGGTCTTGGTTTCTCCTGTGCATTTCTGGGTATCTCCTTCCTTGCAGGACTTTAGATGATCAAGCAGGTTGACCCAGCTGAGCAACAGCATAGTGCAGTGAGATTGCAAAACGTTCAGCAAGTTTGGGTTTTTTTATTAAAGCTTTATTGGTACTTTTCCTGTTGCACCACTCTCCATTCTTCATTCAAAGTTTTCAGTAGTAATTCCAACTGTCCACAAGTCAAAGTGCTCCTCAGATGTTCCCCAGATTTCTCCACACGAGTTACTGGACTGCTTTGTGGGTTTTTTGGCAGCAAGCCTTCTGGCCTCTGGAGAAGAATCATTTGTGAAATGACTGAGACAAATCTACTTCAGCGAGTGATGGGATGTGGCAAGTCGAGAGGATGATGGTGGCAACCACAAGCCCAGTACTTGCATATCAGATAATACATAAAGACTTCTATATATTACCTGTCTGGGGTGAAATACAAACTGTATTCTGAGCACTGTCCTTTTCAGGATAAATCTCAATGCTAATACCTTCATTTCTTATTTTTGTCTATAGGGATTGTTTTCTCTCTCACTGTCTTTCTCAGAGCACGGAGATTTGACTGACTATTGTTCAATCCTGCTTTGAGATTTGACACTCAAAACATTTATTTGTGTTAATATAATTTGTGTGAGTAATCCATTTAGTTTAGCAATCTGATGGATAAAAGAACTGTATGTTTTGAATCATTTTCTTGAGCATTTACCACCTTCATTAGCAATATATTTATTATACTTCTGGATTTATTATACTCTCCTGTTTTTTAAGGAGAGCAGTTCAGGGGAATACATAATTCTAAAAGAAGGCAACAGTTGTAACATAGAAATGTATGATACGTTTTGTAATGAAAAACATTTGTATATTATTTGTAAAAGGAAAATTTACAATTTGTATATTTGTAAAATACTTACGAAGTATTTTTTTACCTTTTGGAGAGGAAACTCAGAATACTGTCTTCTCTACTGTCTGTGCTTTGATTAAAGCTCTTAATTGACCCTACAGTTGAATGTCTTGTTGCTCTGTGTTGCTTCATACTGAAGAAGTTGGAATAGTATATTCCTTTTGCTGTGGAGGAGAGCAGATTTGTGACTGGTTGTTAAGTGCATGTCAGTAATCAGTCAAAGGCAAGCCAATGGCCTTGGTCCTGATTTTATGGCAGTTTGCTGAAAATAAGGAGGCTGGGTGTGTATGGAACATATATACCTTCCTGCCATATAACATGTCAGTGTTTTTACTGCTTTAAGCAAAAACTGTGGGTGTTATTATTCAGGTATCTAGAAGTACATTGATAGTTGTGGCTACTTGCATTTACACCTGGAAAACTGATCCATCCTACTAGCAACAATAACAACCTTTCAGCAGGGGCAACTTCACACTCATTCAAAAGAGGTGTGAAAGGAGCACTATTTTCACTGAAAGCAGTTACAAAACACATTTCACTTGTAAAAAGCATTTTTCTTTTCCCTCCCAGTTAATTAACTTGGAAACAGATCGGGAATACAATTATGAGTCTTGGTACAAAGCTTCAAAAAACCATGTTGGTGGCTCTGTAGCAGATGTTGAATGCGTCTAATTACTCCCTTTATTGAAGTTTAACCTGCAGGATAGATGAAGAGCATCCAAATCCATTGCAGACCATTTTGCATGTTGGTTGAATCTTCTGAAATAACTGTGATGGCATTGCAGCATAAGGGCTTGGGGGACTAATTCTAAATTCCCTGTCCATGACCACTGAAGAAGTTCTTGAAAATCTCGCCTTTATTCACTATGGTCACAGTGTCATATTCGATATGCCAAATAATGTGTGGTTTAGCACAGTGCATTTTATTGACTGGTAATAAAGCTTTTGTCATTTAAGACATAAAGAACAGGGGGCTGCAGAGCTTTGCCTTGAGCAGTGATGAAATAAAAGATACATTACATATTGTCCTAGCGTTTAGGGTCTTGTTAATGGAACAGATACGTAGGTGCTCGTAAAATGAAGAACAAAAGTGCTGAAGTACTGGTGTTTATTTTAGCTTAGAGATATGTTCTAAGAACATCTTCCGTTGTTTAATCTGAGATCATATTCAAAGAACAGAGGTGTGAATGGGAGTTGCCTTAATTTATATGGGAAGGGACATTAATAAAGAATTTCTAAAGCTCCTTCTCAAGTAAAGGTAACAAAATTTCATTCCTGCCCATTTCCATATTTGCCTGAACTGTGGAAATTTAAGGAGTCAAGATACTCTAAATAAGACAGCTAAGAGTGAAGGTAGATGTGGAGAAAAACAACAAAACTGACCTATACAGAACAAGCAGGCAGTGAAAAATGCACGTGCAGAGTTGGAGAAACAGGTAAGTTTATTGGGTCAGGAGTAAGTGAATATAAAATTGAAATAGTATCATTTCAGATAATGTAGTGTACGAGAGACTAAGGCAGAAAGAAATTGCTGCATCGTTAGAATTTCAAGGAAGAACATGGAAAATACAGTTATTTCTTATACTCTGAATAAGCAACTGGTTCTGGAAAATAAACTACAGAGAATGCACAGAAGGTACTGTGCTAGCAATCATATCATTAACAGTGACCGGTAGAGAAAGCCAAACCCAAACCAGCGTGTCACTGCTTTTGGTTGGGCGCTGACCCACTCCTGGTAAGTAAGGCAGATGACCTTTAATCAAACATGGTAATATCCGAACACCATTTACGCCAATAATACCTAAGTGAATTACACTTCAGGGGAGGACGTTCATCCTGTCTGCCGCTGCAAGTGAATTCCAGGATAATATCTGCTTTGGCCAACAAATAAACTGATCAACTGTAGCAGCAACCCTTTTGGATTAATTCTAGAATCCAGCATATAACTTGTAAGCATAGTAACAGCTGGAGCGAAGTAATCTACTAAACTGGAGGTGGCAGGTTCATTGTGAAGGAAAAGTCACGTTGTGTTCCAGCTCTGGGGACTGTTGCAGGCATTTAAGTTCATGTGGCTCCCCCAGCTTGAAGGTTGCTCATTGCGATTCATGAGAAAGTTGTCTAGGGTTGAATAAGGAACTTGGACATTAGCTAGTAAGATGCAACATAAAAAATTACATACATAGCTGTTGCTACACGTAGCTTCACTATGGGAGCTATACACACAATGAGGAACACATCTGGGTTTTGCCCATTGGTTTAGTCTTTAACCAAACTTTCCCTGTATTATCTTCAGGAGTAATTTCTAGTCACTCTTTTTTGAGTTTCATTTCCAGATTTCCCTCTCCCCATTTCTTCTATTCATATGATGACTGATTAAGTAGATAATTGCATGAAAGGCTCATCAGTAATCATTAAAATCAAGTCATTAATCAACTATTGGACAATCTGGCCTGACCCTAGACAGTGCAAGATGCTAGATTTCATTGGTTAATCTTGTGTTGAATTCAATCGCTAACTTGGCTTTCCAAAAAAATATTTGCCAGAAAAACTTAAGAGTCTTAATTTGAAGATGGATAATGAAGAATCCCTAGTTTTACTTTGCAATTTGTTCAAATAGTTAAATAGCCAAGTGGTTAAATCACAAAATTTGCTCGCATAGTTAATTCTAAATTCAGCCTGTTTGGCCTTGTTTTCTAATATTTGATTCTTCCAGTGTTCATCTTTGCTGTTAGTCATTCAAGTCTGGCAATCTTTGGTTTGGTTTGTTTTTCTGGTGGTTTTTGTTTTCATCTTTAGATATGCATAAACTGCAAGCAAGTCACCTCTGTCTTTAATAAAGACAGCATCCCTTGTGAGGCTATTTTCCAGGCTGGAAAACTGGCAATCAGTTTGTGAACATATTTTCTTAAAAAACATGCCCATAGAGCACTGGGCATAATTTATCACTATATGTGACACTAGAATATGCTCCTCCATACTGCTGCTTACTATTCTCCTACATATGTACTCAGGGACTACATTCACCCTTTTGCCATATTATCACAGGGGGAGCTTGCATTAAATTGCTTCTCGACTGTGACATGACTTCTAGGGTTTTTCCAGAACTGGTATTTTCCAGGATACAGTCTACCCTTTGGAAGAGACAGCCTATCTTTAGCTCTACAAAAAATATATCTTGTTCGAATGGGCTCAGTTTTCCAGTTTATGCAGAACACTCTGTGTGATTGCCTTATCCTCACTAATGACCAGTCTGTTTCTCTGCAGCCTTTTCTCAGTGCTGGTTTGAATCTCTGTCTGGATCACCAAGGGATATGTTGAATCCTCCATCCTTCCAGGACTGTAACCCCCAAAACATTCTATTAATGGCAATTGATGGCTACTTTTCATAATTTGTCAATCTCAACTTACTTGACGTGTACCTTACAGATACTGTATTATGCTATTCTTCTAAATTAGGTACATGACATTAGAAACATATGTACTGTTTTTGTATAACTGCAGTATTGCTGTATTCAGCTAAACTTGTAAAAGAACCGTGTCATGGGAGCTAATACTTCCTATTGATTCTTTATTGGATGAACCTTACAGCATTCCAGAAAGACTGATGGAGTCCAGTTGTTCGAGGCTGCTTGCGGAATTTGAAATAACATTTTTTGGCTCTATAGTCACATTTAGAAGCCACACACTAAAAGCTTACTTTTGATTTTGTGGAGTTTACCTTTCATTCAGAACAAATAAAGCAGGCATTTCACATCTCTGAGCAAGGGATGGTTCCTAAATTCCTTAAAGGTCTGGCTTAATTGATGAATTACACTAGCATCTATTTATAGATTTAAGAATAAAAATATGTATTTAGTAAGAGCTGTGACTTTTGAGAAGAAAGAGTGTATTCTCCAAAGAAAAAGAGAACTTCTGTTTCAATTCATACTTACACTCTATATTGTGCTTAATTGTTCCACATTACATTATTCTTAGTCAATCTTTAAGAGAATTTAATGAATGCAGGAAAATAAGTAATGGCCTTTAAAATGCTTTTACGAGTAGATCTTTCAAGAACCTGGGACTTAAGTTATTTTGACACGGAATATGCTATGGGATAGTTTGTAGCAATTCTCAGATACAGCTAAATATAACTGAGAAGTGGGATGTTACCAATGCTGTTGTCTCCGGATTGCATGCTCACGGACCTAGGAATTGCATTGTTTTTTGGAGCCCTCAAACCACACTTTAAGCTGGTCCTTAACTAGGGAAGAGTGATGAGCCTCAGAGTCCACCATCTGTTCCTTGATCACTGTAAGCAACTTCCATGTGGTCAGTTCTGTGAAAAGCCACACACAACAATGCAGAATTATGTAACACACAATAACATAATTTAAGAACACATATAATAATCTTGCGATGGTTTGTGTCACGTAGAAGAGAAGCATGCTTGGATTCTAACAGTTACATTGCACATTGTAACAGCTTCAATTTTCTTTGACAATTTTGTCCTTCTTAAGTATGATGGGATCATTATGCCCGTCTACTCTAAAACTGCTGGTAATCTTTTTCTTGCCTGACACCGGTGGGTGGGGCCATTATATGGATAGCCATTATGTGACAAAACACAATGTCTTACTTTGCAGAGCTGGTGAATTAATTCATATCATATGAAATAAATGTGTCTCTTGAATATTAAACTGTGTGTGATAGTGATATCTAAGAAAAATTTATAAAAAATAAATTAAAAAACAAACAAACAAACAAAAAAAAACAGTAAACCAGATCTTAAACTGCCTGACATATTCCCAGTACTAATGATTATCATAATATTGGCATTCTACAAGTTCAATCTTACTTTTGTCTGACCTACTCATGATGCCACATGTGTTGAACTTAGTCATCACTGAACAAACTGGGAAGTCATTCATTTATATAAAACAGTGGTGGTTTCCCCCACTATTTAAAGGTAGAATGGCTATTTTCAAGTCACAGCAAAGTAATTTCTGAGTCAAGCTTTACAAGACTTCCCACTCAGACTAGCTAGTTATTCCCAAACAGGTTCTATTTCTACCTCTGTGTCCGCTTTTCATTTCTGCACATTCTCCTTCACTACTGAGT